GATGCCGTCCACACCAGGGGTCGTTGTCTTTGTTAAGGTGGCCGTCTTCACTTCTTCTCCGCTAACATTGTCCTGCCAAGTAATCGCTCGCCTCGGGACGACGGGTACGTCAAACGGGTCACCCGGTGCGTCATCTTCCGCACTAAACCTGTCGAGAAGGGCTCCCCGAAGCGCTTGAGCCTTTTCGTTAGTATCCTCGATCGTCTGGTTGTCCACAACCAATGGGGGTGCTCTGGTCAGTAGGCTCGCCTTCCGCCAACCCATGATCTGGTACAGGTCCCGGTCTGAAGCGACTCCATCGATCTTTCCGGCCCAGTATGCTCGCTTAGCCTTCCTCACCGTGCTCAGGAACGCCTTTCGTTTCTCCATTAGATAAAGGTGCGCATCTTGCTCCGTCTCCCAGGCTTGTTGGTTGCGGGCAGCACGGTATGCTCTGTGGGCCTCTGCGCATTCCTCCGTCCACCAAGCCGCGCCTTTACCATGTTTTCCTCTCTTCTTGCCGACCGCCTCAATGGCTCGGGAGAAGAGCTCGACGATGTGACTTGCCTGCCCGTCCAGGTCTTCCGGAGTAGGTTGATCCCCCAGATTGGGCATCGCAGCTAGCCCCCCTTCGATCAGGTCTCTCAGCCGAGGCAGCGCCGAGTCGGGCACTGACAGTGGCCGTGGCTGCGGGTGGCCCTCTCCCTGTGACACTGGGCGTTTGAGTAGTGGTATGACGGCCACGATGGCCTCGTGGTCAGCTCCCGGGTGTAGCTGTGGGCTGACCTGCGCGTGCGCAAAAGGGATATTAGAGAAAGCCAGGTCCAGGACATGTCCGCAATCCTGGGTTGCCACCCCAACTTCGCTGATAAGAGAGAGATTGTGGCCGTCTGCCCAGCCTGCGATGTCATCTCCCCGGTTCCCGTTCCTCGTCCCGGGCTCCCAAGAGTAGTGATGCGCGTTGAAGTCACCCGCGATCAAAGCTCGCTCCGGGGGTTTGAGTTCTAGCAGTATCCCTGTTGTGCGGCTGTGGGGGTCGCGGGGTTGTCTGTACACGTTGACGATAGTCGTCGTTTTGTCGACCACCAGCCACAGTACGTCTCTCGTGTGGACAGGCCTCTGCTGCTCCACCGTCATCCCTATCCCTTTGCGTGTGTAGGTCAATACTCTTGGTCTGGTTCCTTCGCTGTCCCAGAAGTCGACCGGGACGAAAGAGTCGAAACCCGGGTGCGTGTTCAGTTGCACGTTTCCGTCCTTCCAGCCCGTCCAGGGTTCCTGGACGAGGACCACATCTATCTGAGCCTCCCAGCAGAGCTGCAGGAAAGCCGTGTGCGCCGGGGAGATCTTTCCGACGTTGCCCTGCGCAACGCGTAGCATCCGTGGGGTCGCCGCTCTCGGCTTACGTCTCCGAGTCGAGTTCGAGGTGGGTGTAGGCATTCGCGACGTTGTAGTTTGGCTTCTGTGCTGCCCGTTGGCTCCTGCTTGGCATGGGTAGCACGGGACGGTCGATGGAGGTGTTGTCGGGGGAGTCTTCGCCTTCGCCTTCGTCCGCCTCGTCTTCATCCATGCTGCTGCTGTCAGTGCTTCCGTCACCGAGGCAAACGATCGAGCTTGCGGAGGGCGTTCTCGTGCGCGCGCGCTTGGCGCCGGGTTGCTGGTTCTGGCTGGTGGAGGTAGGGACGCCTGCCGCCTCCTGGCTACTGTCGGATCGAGTAGCCTTGTACAGAGTGTCCGATGCTTTCTGGCCGGCCTTCCGGATCCGAGCCCGCTCCTTTCGACCGGGAAGGGAGACGACGCCGTTTACGGCCGAGGGCCTCGCTGGGCAGTCTGTGTGGCTGGCTTGGAAGGGGCCGCAGCAGTTGGCACATTGGGGCCTGGCCATGCAGGGTCCCGTTTCGTGTGAATCGGAAGGTCTTCCGCAGTTGCTGCAGATCGGTCGTCGTCCGCAGAACCGGTTGGAGTGGTAGCCCTGGCAGCCGGGGTCGTGTCGGATGAGCGTCCTTCGTTTCTTGACGGGCAGAGATCTGCCGCTTTGGTTGAAGAGCCTGAAGGGCGTGACCTCTGATGTGAATGATATGAGCCAAGATATTTCGTTCGTGACTGGGTTGGGCCCAAGGCGGGACGGTCGAGCAAGGACAGGCTTCTGTCCTGTCTGTGCGAAGACCTCATCTTCAACGAGTGTGGCTGGGTCCAGGACGTCCCCGCCAATGCTGTGTAGTTTTGTTGGGCATCGCGGCACAACGTAAGTGTACCACTTGATAGGCGTCTCGACCTGGTGGGCGCCGAGGCATTCCGCCAGCTTTGCCTTACTTGCAAGTAGTCTTTCCTGTATTTGCTTGTTTCGCGGCTTCAGAGAGTAACCTGTGCTGATATGGTAGACGTGGGGAAGGTCCGCTAGCCCCAGGCCAACGGCCTTACAGACGATCTGTCGTACGGCGAACGGTGCGATCTTCCGAGCGGCCGCTAAGCTTTCTTCCGGGACGCGGGCAAAGATGCGGAGGTCCTCCTTCGGCTGCGCCTGCGGCTGATCCTCGGCGGGGAGTGTGGCCTTCGGGCGGGCAGAGCTCTGGCAGCTCTGGCCGCTCCGGGTCGCCGCAGTGGTGTTGCCCGCCATCGGTGCGACGACAGCCGCCCAACTCCGGGCCGCTATTGGGCTTGTCTCGTGATTGATCAGTCTCTTGAGGGTTTGAATGACATAGGCAGTGGCTTCTTTCGCGATCTGCTTTCTAGAACCGTCAAAGCTGGCGACAACGCTGTCGACGGACCGTGCAATGGTCAGAAAGACGTCTTTCCGTGCCTCGTACTGTCTAGCTTCTTCTGCAAGGGCTGTCAAGACGGACCCTGTGGCAGATCCGCTCGGAGCAGATGCGGTAGAGGCTGCGGGCCCCTCGGCCGAGGTAGGGGCGTCGGTGGTGGCATCAAGCTGGCTTCCCGTTAGGCTGGGCCGGGTCGGCTGTGCCTCGGCGTCGCGGCGTCGCTTAGCTCTTGAGGTGGGGTTCGGCTCCGGAGGTGTCCCGGAGCCTGGTTCGGGGTCGGCTTGGTCGGCCGACATCAGTCCGGTGCCCGACGGCGGCTGTGAGGCCATCGCGGATGCGGGCTCCGGCAAGGGGAGGTGAAGAGTTTTCGGCTGTTAGTAATTTGGTGGTAGGCTCACTCATTCACTAACAGCAGATGCCAAGAAAAATTAGGCGAGAGGGAAGTTGACGTGTAAGTAAGGTACTCCAGGCAAGCAGGAGTAGTTCTTGAGAGCTTGATGATGAGGCAGGAGGCGTCGTTGGCGTATGCAGTCGATAAGAGCCTGTCTATCCATTCGATGTTCTTGAGCAAGCATGCAGGAGAGCGGTCTGGACTCCGAAGAGGGGTAACGTGACGGACAACGCAAGCTTCGTTTAGTAAGAGTAAACTCTGTTGAGGCAGCAGCCTGGGCTCGATGCTTGTTGGTATGGCGCAGCTATGACTTCCCAGTATGGAGATGTATACACTTTCTATTCTTTTCCTTTTCCGTTGAAAATAAAGCCAGTGGAGGGGGGTGCAATGAGTAGAACGTTAGAGGAGCTACGCCTCTCAACAATACATTTGCAGCCGTGAAAATGATTTCTAGCTGCTTTTAGCACACCAATCTCGTAACAAGTCTCGTGCACAGAGGCTACGGCTTTTCTGGTACAATCATCTGAAGAACAGTGGGATGACCCAAAATATCAGGACTGCGATAACGCATGACTCACCTTAATTTCGTTCTCATAGTTCCCGAACAACATTGATCCGTGAGCTTTGTGTAAAGTTCAGGCTTCCAGCGTATACATGAATCAATGTAATAGGAAGCAAGCAGCGTTGGAAAAGCTTCGAGCATGCTCACTCGAGGCAAGCCATGTCGGTACCAAAGTTGTCAAGTTGAGGGTTCAGGGCTGCTCCCAAATGAAACAGAAGGACCAGTCTTCAAGTAAGATTTGAAGTATCGATGATTCCACACAAAACTTCATGTCGTATGACCGAAAGGATGTCCATTAGAAGCCCTCCATGTTTCTTTGGAATTGTCCTGTAGATTTCCATGAGCATTGTAATATTCAAGGCTGAAGAATCTTATCAAATTGACTAATGTTTCCAAAGATAGTAACCGAAGTGACACTTCGTTCTGGACTCCTTTAATTCCTCAAAGTTTCTGACAACAGGATGCGTTCAAGACACAATTTAAAGATATCCCTAATCATGAAGAACGTTCAAGGCTTGAATTAAATATGACTTTATGGCCCTCGGCCACGAAAATCTATCCGAAGCTTTGAGTCTTGCATTTAATCTTGATGTTTCAACTCCATATAAGGCTATCAGATCCCCAACATTTGCTTCTTATTCCCATCAGTAAATCCAAAGCAAGCCATTGCAACTCCTGAAACTGACGATACTTCGCTTGACCTCATCTGCCGTCGTCCTGGTGTCGGTCGTCAGTCGTGGCCCACCGAGCCATCTCCTTCCTGACTCGGCAGGTCCTTAGCTACCCATTCCCTTGCAGACTCCAAGCCTTGTTGGCTAAGTGGTATAGCGTCTCACTAGTATTAGTGACATGAGAAGATCGGCGGTTCGATTCCGCCACGAGGCAATTCGCAGCTCACAATGTGGGCCATTCCGATTTTTGTTTTTGGATCTAGTTGACGACCGATGCAAGGCGATGAATTCGCGATCGTGCTCCACTTACTTCATGTTTTCCCTGTCTATGTGTCCATAGTAAACTGCAATCCTTCCTTTGATAGAATGAATTTCGAAAAACTCTAGTTGAAAGAGCGATTATTCCAGTCAAGCTGGCGCAAGTCTTGTTCTCACAGGATATATCCTTTGGTACGGATGCTTTACACAGTTTTAATAACAAGCGCATTTCGCAGACAGATACCGACCTTGGAGGTGTGGAGACAGCACATGTGGAGGACCGGCATCGGCCGTCAACTCAGTGTCGGAGTCTCTTGCCTCAATCACCTATAAAGTGTGGCTTTACGTAAGGAACTTTGGTCGCCAAAGTCCTCTAGAGTAGCGGGGTTCGACCGGTTCATGGAGTCGGGATGCCGTAAGCACAATGAATGATATAAGGACTTCAGTCGACTTCCCTTTAGTTTGCACAGGCTAATCTCAAGTTTCTTCCTACTCAAGGTGTTGCTCTGCCAACTTTCATTCTCTCCCCTACTCGACTGAAACGTCGACAGAAGTTACAAGATGTCAGCCGCCGACATGGATCCCGCGCAGCGTCTCAAAGATCGGAAGCCGATCCCGAAGCCCGTTCCGGCTTATCTCCCGACCGCCGGCTCGGTGCTCACCGTCGATAAGGAGTTGTACGGATCAGCGCAACAGGCGAAGCGAGTGTTGGTCGAAGAATTTACACTGCCGATCCGGTCCGGAAGAGCATGGAAAGCACCCGCCGGATCAATCGTGAGGATTAGCACCCCAGAGGGTCCTCAAGTCGGTATGGAACGAAGCCCATCTTATCTTGAAAGAAGACGAAAGAGAGAGAGAGAGAGGCTTATTCCGGCCGCAGGTGACTTGAACATTTGGAACGCGCACAACCCCCGCGAACGCTTCTGGGCGAGCCGCACGAAGCAACTCCACGCCAGCCACGTTTCGACAGGCGACCGGCTCTGGTCTAATTTACCTTACATGCGACCCCTGGCCACCATCATCAAGGACTCGTTGGACTGGTACGGCGAGGACGAGCACGGTGGACGCGTGCACGACCTCCTCGGCACACGCTGCGATCCGTACATCAACACGGTTCTCAGTGGCGGCAACTACAACTTCCAATGCCATTCTAACTTGACACGCGCCGTGTTGCCGTACGGTCTGATTGAGCAGGACGTCCATGATGTGATTAACATTTTCCAAGTGACGGGATTGGATGAGCAGGGACGGTACTTTATGAACCCATGCCCGGCGCAGCCTGGAGATCATATCGAGTTCCTGGCGGAACAGGATCTTTTGATGGCTTTGAGTAAGTGTCGCCCCCTGTTATGGGAAGCTTTTTGTCTGCGCTGCGACGACATGGACTCCAGTATTCCGGGTTGACGGAGCCATGATGCGGCTCTGAACACACAACTGACTGTTATCATAGGCACTTGCCCTGGTGGTGACCTCTCGCTTTGGGGCTTCGGCGAGGACAGCGAGGAGGAGATGATCAAGTGCTGTCGTCCGCTCAAGGTTGAAGTATTCCGCCTAGAGGACGAGGGTCTCTTGCAGCGCGGTGGCTGGAGACCTGCCGAGGTTTCCAAGTACAGCGGACGTCACGGAATGGAAATCCCTCTGGGGGAAGTTCGCAAGTGATTCTGATGAACGGTACGGCTGTAGATGCCTAGATGGTGTTTTGGAGGAGTTACTTTTGGGAGGCTTGGGTTGTGAGGACTGGAGTTAGGCGCGCGTGGCGGAGTGGGATGGAGAAGCCAAACATGACGAGAACATATATGAATGTCAATGCCTCACAGCAAGTTGAGTATTAGATGTCGCCCTGGTGTCGCCTATGATGTATCACGTCCCTTGCGCCTCCCAATGCCGAAATACGGTCTATCCCGCTGAATCGGCAGAACCGCTGGCAACAAACCAAGATGATACGAGTTATTCGCATCGACCCCAAACATGACCGATGCCGAGCTCCTCTTCTGCATAGTCAACTCATCAGCAGCGCAGCTTCCATGCAGCTCCTGATCCCACCAAGGCCCCCTGACGGCATTCGCGATAGCCAAGAACGTCGCCGCTCGGAACGGCAGACCACGCGACTTGCTCCTCCAGATATCCAGACAACTGACAGAGAAGACGACGCTTAGCATCGCCAATACGATCCACAGCACCACGGTCCGCATTATGTACACGTCCTCCTTAACCCTCGCTATCACGGGCACGGTAGCGGTGCCAAAGTACCCAGCCGTCGAGATCGCGGCGATGGACTGTGCGATGTTGCCGAAGAAGTGGCCCCAGTCTTCTGCAGTGGGGATCGCGTAGAGGGTATCAATCGTTTTATCGACGATTTGGAGTTGTTCGCGGAAGATCCACCAGGGGATGGCTGTCATGTAGTCCTTCAGCACGTCTAGTGCAGCTGTGTCGATGGCTGTGGTGTTTGATCCCGGGTTGCCCACACAGTCCGTCATCAACGTTCCGTTAAACGTGCAAGCACCGACTTCCCATGTGAACTCAGGTGTGCACTTGCTGCGGGAGATCCAGTGGCCCTCGGCCGTCTGTGTGAGGCTGCTATCGTTGGTGAGAGTCTCGGCCTTGAGGGATGAAGAAGGGCCCGCGGAGATGAAGTATGTGGTGCCGCCAATGGGGACCTCGTTGATGGAGGTATTGGCTGCGCTGTTCCAGAGGCGCAGGCTTTGCGACTCCTGCTTCTTGGGGGTAACGTCGATTGTCTGGTTACTGGAATCGGGGAGGGTGAAGGTGTAGGAAGCGTTCGCGCCGTTGAGAGAGGTGGTGAACGGTATTTCGGCAGCGGCTTCGCAATTAGCGTCCCAGTGGTACAGGACTAAGCCGTGGTAGGTTGTGTTGACGTTGAAGGTCAGGTTATGTGTCGGGATGGGACCAATGACGCCCGAGAAGACGTCGACGAGGGCACTTTGACTGACAATGTTTCCGACAAAGGTATAGACGGTTCGCGAGAGGAAGTTATCGTTGTCATCGAGAGTTTGCTTGAAGGTACCCTGCCCGTTCCACCCCATCGCATTGGCTAACCTCGTAACGGAGGAATCATCCGATGGGAGGATGGGCATTCCTACAACATCAACACTTGTGATGTTTTCGTAGAATGCTCCTGTGGTGAGCATCAGTGTGCCGACGGGGACGATCGAAGTGCGAATGACGATGAGGGCGGCCTGCATGACAGCGTACCACCACGAGTATTTTCCCAGAATCCGTAGCGTCCAAGCACTCGAATCGTCCCCTATCTTGTCCAAATCCGCCAGGAGAACGGGCCGCTGCGCCGTGAGAGCGAAGAGTCGAAGGTGTCGAAAGTCGTGCATGATCCATTGGACCAACATTCCCGCCGGGGCAAGTAGTGCTGAAAGCGCGATACCGGAGTAGAGCTGGTCGACCTTCAAGGCGTCCGGCGTGCGGAAGACGCGCTGCATGTAGTAGTCTCTGTCAACCGCGGGTCCCTGATATGACCAGACAACTGCCGCCACCGCGGCAAGAAGGTAAACCAAGATGCAAGCGATGTAAATCTTGAGAAACTTGAAGTCCTGGAACCTGAACATGCGTTCGGCCGTGGTCCCGCCATAGTGAAGCTGTCCGTCCGGCGGTAGAGACCCGCTTTGCGGGGTGGTCTTTTCGGCAGAGGCCCGGTCCTCATCGGATACGGCCCGTGAGAGGGAGCTGTACTCAATTTTCGAAGCCATGACAAAGGAACCTACCCTATTCCATCCAGAGTCTCCCGAGAGTCGTGAACATGAGCACGCGAGCAGGAGGTGATCAGAGATTTTAAGAGATCCTTTCCGCCACATGCTCCTACACGGACACGGACACGGAGCAAAGACACCCTTGCTTCCAAGGCCTGTGAATCTATCTACTGCATGTCAGCCTCTAATTTTGAAGCCTGGCGATCCTTCGAGGACCCACCCGGGTGGGATCAACGTTGGGCTGAGGGTCTAGCCCATCGTACGCAGCCACCCAGAATAGAGCCGGCTCTCAATTGGACAATCTTTGCCCCAGAGTGAGAACAAGCATAACCACCCGCGCTTAGTGTGGCATCTGAATCAAGCTACCCAGCGCTGCGTGCGCCAAGGCCAACGCACCCTCAGCCACTTACTTGAAGACTTGCTGAGGCCTACTAGAGAAATGGGGGGCGATACGTGATGCCACCAGTTCTCATTTGTCGCACGGTTCAAATCACTGCCGCCAACAGTTTAGACGAGATTTACCTGTTAGAGGGGGAAAATGTAACTCGATTAGGGGGCAGATTACTGACGAAACCAATAAGAGCCTCTGTTTGGTTCGTCATTCGTACATGTAAGCCATTCCGCGATCCCTTCAGGCGCGGACATACACTTTCTTCGTCTATCAGATGTTGTAGATTCATAATGATGCCTGCTAAATTCCTTGCCTCTGGATAAGTTCCGAGACACTACAATAACACCAACCACCCGCTCAAAAAAAAGTCTATCATTGCCATCTGTGGTTCAAAAGGAGCTCAATTCATTGCGGCCGTTGAGCCCGTTCTTCGTTACCTTCACTCTCTGCCTCAATCCTGAATCACCCTTGGATATTGCTTCCCTGCTCATCTCTTCGACTTCCTTGTCATCATTATTTTTCGATGTAGCCTCCTGAACCAGACCTTTCACTTCCAAAGACACAATCTGGCTTAGTGACATCCATACATTCCCCAAGCTGCTGCAGGTAGTCAACCCGAGAAACAAGATAGATGTACGAGACCATCCCATTGATTTGAGGTGACAATCTTCGTGGCGGCCTGACCTGAGATACTGGTTTCACGGCGACCGGGAAAGAGGTCTATAATCTCACACGGATTGGCCGCACAGCAATAGTCGCAGACCGGAACCATCTCCACACAAGAATACCTAAGTCAGGTCTAGGTCTATGGCACTTTCCACACGGCTGCAAGATATGTGATATGCGGGTCACTGTAGCTGCACCGATTCCATCGCTTACTTACAGCTGCGACTCGTCGACGGATGATTCCTAACCAAAGGCATGAAAAGTGCTTCACCTACGTTAGCTGCAGATCAACAGCATAAGACAGCTACTTTCTCTCCCTAAAGATCTCCCATGCTCTACATCTACATCGACAATATTCATTCATCAAACTCTCTCTTCAACTTCACCAACAGCCATGCAGCTCATCGCTCAGTCAGAATGGATGCAGGACCAGAAGCAAGCCGAGGTGATGAGCCCCGGCAAGAGCTTTGAGGTCATACAGACTGCTTCTGGCATCTCTGTCCTTTTTTCCATTGGCTCCGACAATCATTTCTATGCTTGTCGTGAAGTTCAGGCTAGCCCTACTGGCTGATCTCGCATCGACCTGGGCAGTAATCTGCTTGCATCACAAGATGGAAGACAAGCCGTAATCAAGTCATTTTCTGTGGTCCAGAACCCAAATTCACTGTATTTCGACCTGGCTGTAGTGGCGACATTGTAGGCTCGGACCAGATATTCGTGTCTACCGGTAATGCCAATACGGATGATGCCTAGTCTCGAAGCGATGGACGACTGGGTATCCAGTGGAGCGCGATTCCCTTTGATGCGAATGGGCGCTCGTCTAGTCGAGATGCTCTTGGGATCGATTCCGTGTATCTCATGACCCTTCCGACTTCTGGAGCACCTGCTGGCTCCCTCACATGTTTTGTGGACGTCCTTCGGCCACAGCCTAATACTCTACGGCTTCTCGATCGTTGTTATATCACGCCTCAATCCAAACGAGCATGGAACAAACACACACTGCCTATTGATCTAACTTCTGAAACAATTCAAAGCAGTCTGAGCCGTCGTTTCAAAGACAGGGTGGGGGGCATATACACCTTTGGCCAGATCAACGGTCGTCTTGAGCTCATCTACGCCCCTGCGTTCGACTTCTGGAATTCCAAAAATCCGCCAGCACCCGCCAGGTTGGTAGTACCAGATAACGCCACATCTATTGCAACCGCTATAAACACTGCTGGTGATAGCCATCTGTTGTTCCAGGTCAGCAGGGAATATTTTATTACCCTCCGGAGCACCAGAAGGATGGCTCTTCAGGAACGCGGATCGTCACTACCGATTTGGTTGCTCAGGTCACCCAGTTGACTGCCGAGTTCATTAATGGGACAACTGCTCTGTATGGCAAGAGTCCACAGGGTGATCTCTTCTACACCACTTGCAAAACTGGTTCTTAAGCGTCCCCCGATGCTTGGTCGTTACCAGTCCGTCTTCCGTCTCACATTGAGAACTAAGCCTTGTTCCTGAATAGGAAAGCTGGCAACAATACCCTCTTTACGCATGTCACCGGTCAGCAAATGGCACAGATCACCCAAGACCCTGTTACGCGTGATTGGGCGTCGGGGTCCATCCCCCTCCCCGCAACAGATGTGAACGATATCCTTGAGATCAGTTCCTTCACTACGCGTCTAAGTGTGTTGGATGACTCTGGCGCCGCCGTGGCAAAGACAGATATTCTTCTAACGGCCACAAGCCCTGTGGGCGTTTATGTCAACGACGCATACCGCATATTGAGCCCGAATACTTCTATCTAGATTCCCTCTGACGAGACCGGCATCATAACCATTGTCCAGCCCGCATAGGACATGTCAGCAATCTCGTACAAAGCCACCATTTCGAATCAGGCCGCAGTGTTACTCAACATTGACCCGGCTGAGAAGGTCAAGTCCCGGATTGCAGCAATTCAGTCTGGCAATGACCTCAAAAATGCCGCCATCACTCGGACTGATGGCACAACTTCATCACTCATTCCTCTTGATGTCTCTCAATCTGATTGTGATGCTGCTGCCACCGCGATTCAACAGCTGGTCAAGGTTGCAAGTACTCTTCCCTCTGATGGAAGCCCTCATTCATCTTCCTTTGCGAACGGCGCCAGTGTACAGCCGGCAGCACTAGGTAAGACAGCCATTGCTAAGCATTCATCGTCGTATGCTAATATTTGCATTCAATATCAGCACAGATCTTGAACTTGCAAACACCTCCGCACCAGCCTGATGCTCGTATCTCCATAATCGATGCTGTGGTCGCTTCTTCCAAGAACATCTTTGTCCAAGCTGGTAAACTGTTTCGCTCCATCCTTCATTCTGCGTGGAACAGTGTCCAAGAACTTCGTTATTCGCGCTGCCAAGGGCGTCTATGAAGTCCTTGTTTACGTTGGGGATGCCATCTACCGTACTGTGCTTGATTGCGTCTCCGTAGTATCATATGCAGTAGAATGGGTCTTTACGAAGCTCAAAGTCACCTTTGATGACCTCAAAGCTTTCCTCGGCTTTGTTTTCAACTGGGCCGATATTGTACGCACTCATAAGGTCATCAAGAATGTTGCAACCAAGTATGCACTCTATGGTGTCTCACAGATTGGGGTCCTTCAAGAATTTATCAACACCAACATCGACTCCCTCGAATCGACAATAACCTCCTAGGCCGATATTCCTGATCTCCAAGACACTGCAGGTCAAAGCAACAGCAAGGCTTCGGGCACTCTAGGTTCCAGCGAGCCTCAGAACTACTACGCCCAAGATGAGGCCAAGTCGAATATCAGCATTGCGAAGACCACCGCCACCTCGGTTGAAATTGCAGGTGGTAGCGACTGGGCTAGTGTTCTCGAAGAGCTGAAAGGAATAGCTACGGCCGAGAAAGATATCGTTAAAAAGAGCCTTGATCAGATAAACACCCAGATCATTGATCCATTTAGCGGCTTAACTCCTCTTGAGATTGCCAAGAGGCTGATAGCCATCATTGGCAAAAAAGGATTGGAGACGGCCAAGAATATCGTCGTCAAAGCATTGGGCATTGTGAAAGACCTCACGAGTGCAGTCATCAAGGAGTTGAACAAGCCAATTTCGATTACCGTCATATCTGGGCTATACAAGTCAATTGCAGGCGAGGAGTTAAGCATCATGGATCTCGTTTATCTTGTGGCAGCAGTTCCGGCGACTCTGATTTACAAAGTGTCACCGGAAACACCCCATTCCCTAACAACGCCTCCACAGACGCCATTATCGAGGCTTCCGATTTCGCGTCGCTTCGGAAAATCAGGCTCGGCAACACCAGCGTCTACAAGAACTTCACTATTATGGCCGAGTTTGCAGCCATGGCAGGACTTGGCTTTAGCGTTATAACCAACGATGTGAAGATGCCGTTGATGGCAGAAGGAAAGCCGCAAAAGGTCCCTGATATCATTAAGCAAGTCAGCATTCCGATAAAGCTTATGGTTCTCATGCCCAGCTTCATCCAGCCACGATCAGATCATGACTCCTGGGAGATCCAGATGGATGGTGAGATGACTGATCTTGCCTTCTTGAAGGGTTTTCTTGACGCGACATCGGTTGGAGAGCAGGAGCTATACGGGATAGTGTCTCCGTACATTGACTATTCTATCAGCGCTCTATGGGTCATTCCATTCATTCCATCTATTGGAAAGATGGTCGCCAATCATCAGAAGACGAGCTCGTATCTGTCGTTTACCACTCGCCTTGCCTACGATGTTGCTGTTATGACTGGACCTGTTGTCTGGAACCCTGACTTGGATCCTGAGACCAAGTTGATTGTTTTGGCTGTAAGCAATGGCATTATCATTGTAACTGCTGGTATCAGTGTTGCGACAGGTGGGCTTCTCGAGAACGATGGCTAGAGGTAAAATTCTAGGGAATATTGAGCAAATAAATCCAAAGATATACGTACCATTTATTGACTAGTGCTTTTAACTATATTTTTATAATCTCTTATCTAAGAGAGAGAAATCCAATGATATAACGGCAATAACTATTCCTGTTTAATTCGTACTCTCTTTGTCTACTAGGATGAATTCGCATATGTAATGTAACCTTTACTTGAAACACTGCGATGAGTGGGTGTCTACTAGATAGGCAACAAGTAATACACACTAGATAGTAAAACCCACCTCTTTGATTACGTTAAATGGCGTCAACATGGATGAGCTCTCCAGTCACCCTGGCCATCAATATTGAGTTCTTTGATGCCAATCCAGTCAAGGCGTCATCTTCAATATTCAGTTAAAACGGCTGATAAATGTGTCATGTTCGTTCTCCAAAGCGTAAGGCTCCTCATCTGACACGTGTACCTCTGTGCCCGTGTGACATCCGCCCCCGGTTCTGGACAAATGACAGAGTGATGCGACTCCAACCGTTCAACCGAAAGACTGAATCAGTAAAGTCCATCACCAATAACACCATAATTCTCTCGTATCACTCGAGGAAACTATTTTGAAACAGAACGAAGCTTCATTCTCCTCAAACTCTGGCTTATCGATCCCATTCCAGATTTCTTCCAAGGTAGTGTAGACGAAGTCCTTCGCTTCGTCTGTAAAATAAATGGTGAAGCTCTCGAGATGCGGAGAGTCACCCTTCTGAACGGAGTGGGCAAGCCATTCAATGTCCTGAAGTTCCGAATGATGATGGTCCAGGAAAGTTAGGCTTCGGGGCGATCGAGGGAGTGTTTTGATGAATGCATTTGGGCCTGAGCCGTTCTGGTCATTCCTGGCAAAGTCCGCTGGACCCACCGAAAGGTATTCAAGTCTTTTGAACATCCCGAAAGTATCGAACCATCCGTCCTCCTCTATTCCACTTTCCAGGTGGAACCAAACGTAAATGTAAACAGAGTATCTGAATGTCGCACAAGCGCCCGTCGGACCTTTATAGGGGATATGTTCAGTTCATCTGAGAACCAGGAAGAACGCACGAAGTAGTCAAAAGAATGAAGACCAGGCGGAATCTCGAAATTCCCTTGCTGATTTGAAGAAACATCATCCACGAGAGGTGCTTCCCAAAGAGTCAGGTGCTTGAGCTTTTTGAAAGCGTTGAATGCCTCTGCCGGGAGGCTTTCAAATCTGAACCCTTCAAAATTCTCAAGGTTGAGTGCCAGACAAGCGAGCAAGTGGAAATGTGAGAGATCCATAGTCGTACCTATGTGGGCGCCCAAACGAAGAAAAATCAAATTTTGAAGCAAAGCCTCCGGTGTCTCAGATGGTGAGATTAAAAGAGCTGGCAAGACCGACCAAGCATTGTCAATCTGGTCAAACTCTTCATAGCCGTATTTCAAGTCGGGGCCATCTAGCCCAGTGATCATTACTTGAGATACACCTTGGAGCTGATGGAAGAGTAGCGAGGATAACACCGTATCGTACAAGCGAGAACTGTTTTTACATTCTTCCAGTGCGGTGCCGAGGTTTGGCCGGCCGATGGTTCGAGCGAAAGGGCCGAGGTTGCGGATATCATCCATGGTGCGTTTCAAGCGGCAAGAAAAGGCCCTTTCAAAGTGTATATGGACTTGGCCCACTCTGGAGCGGAGGTCCTCCCGATGGTGCAGAACTTTGATCAGTGACAAAATGCTGACGCCGACTGGATCCCAGACAGCGAGGTAAATCTTTCGATGTAGGAGAGGCTGGGCTACAGACTGAAATGACTTCGATGCTCTGGAAAGGATTGCGAGCGTGTTCTGGTCGGCTATCCGGTCCTTGTTTTCGCCAATTGAGGTGTCATTCTGGAAGCATGCGGCAATTTCGCCCAGCATTTCGGGAGGAAGACTCGACATCGACGCCATCGTACGGCTGGGAATAATGGGGAGAGCAAGGCTCAAGGCTTCGTTGGTGCTATGGGCTTCGTCAGTCTTCAGTCACCTCTGGGAAGGGTGGGCAATTCCTACCTTTCCCTGATCGAGGGCATGCAACCGGAGGTCAGCGTATGACGGACGCTTAGATTTGTTTGGCTGTTCTTCTCTGTGGTGTTTGTCGAGGGATCCGAGGGATCAGGAAAGGATGGCGATGGTGCGAAAGAAACAGGTTCCGTGATTGAGGGAGGAAAAGGGTGGGAGGAAGAGAATAGAAAGGACGGAAGGGAGCTCGGTAGCACTTGTTGTGTGGAAGGGGCGAGAAGTGGAAGGTGCCTCCCAAATTTCACCTTCGCACCTTCCTCAAGCCCATCCCGAGAGGAAAAGAAAGAGCGAGTTGGAGTCCCATGCTGAAGCAGATTTCCTCAAGAATCTTGTAATTATTCAAGCTTGGTAAATATCGCTGCTGCGTGAACTACAGTAAGTAAATATTTGGTACAGCACTTCGTTTAAGCTGACAACTCTTCAGCTTCACGACTGGGGGAACAGAAGACGCAACAGATTACTTTTATTCAACCAAAAGCTTCGTAAAAAGCGTCGCATCTGGTTCGTCTTGTACTGAGGCTTATTGAAACGACAAGAAACTAAGCAAAAGATCAGTCAGAAGCCAAATATGACACCGATTCACATCTGGTATCTTGAAGAGATCTCATTTTACTAGGCTACTTAGAAGGAGCATCTGATACGCACTCATATTTTCTTACAGATTACAGAACCTAAGCAACAATTCAAAGACAAAACAAATCGTTCCAAACCTCAATTGCTGCATCACATGGCCCGGTATCTGGTGTTGAGATTCCAGCCGCGTTGAAGCAGTGAAATAATGTACTGACCACCTTGATGAAGACGGTTCTTGACCCTCTGCGCAAACTCCCAGTGAAGCTTCTTGACACGGCATTTACCTCGCACTCTACCTTGCCGCTTCTGGGATGGTCGGTTCTTCTGTCTGTACAGGTAAGCATTTTTCTTCTTCCTTCGTTGGTAGAGCGTCTGCCGCAACAGCCGGCATAGCTCAGTACCGGGGGTAAGCAACCTGGCGAGAAAGTCTCTATCCATGACTGCCTTGTGTCTAGACAAGCGCTTATGGATTCTGGCTTGCTCAAGATGCAGTTTGACGATGTAGTCATCATTCTCGAAGCCCCAGCCGGTCTCGGATACGTTTGGGGTTCTGGGAGGAGTTATTAGTTCAGCCGAGCGACGCTGGAAGGTGCGCACTTGGTCTTGGCCATTGAAGCGGACGCGCTTCTTCTCGACTCGGAAAGACGAACCCTTGGAGTTCTCTTGGGTAAGTTGGTGTTGATTGCGACATGATGGATGAGATGCACTGAGGGATATGGACTTGAGGCTTAGACACTCGGGCACTGGGCCTTATGTAGCCCTTGACAGGCTGAAGCATATGGCCTCAAACTGTAGGACTAAAGAAGTCGACCTCAGGACAGTCATGTAGATACATGACACATCGATAATATATTCGACCTCAAACAAAGGTCGAAGATACTGCGTACTGTTTACACGAAGTGTGAAATAAAAACCCTTGCCATGCCTTCCTTTGAAGTCTGCCTTTGTCTCCGTCTGAGACCCAGAAGCAGACCCCATCACTAAACCGTCTACAATCACTTTGGGCCAATAATACAAGAATCAGACACAATAAGATGCGTAAGAGGCCCGTTTGGAATCATGGAACTAGAAGCTTAATGAAGTTGGCCAGCCGTGTTGAACAACGGAAATGCGGGGTGATTATTTCGGCGCCGAGCTGCCTGTCTAAGCTCATTAGACGGCAACCGGTGAGCAGGAGCTCCGACCGACGTCATTCTCATGCTCTCATATTCTTGGTGTCCTTATTTCTCAACTTCATTGCTATTTATCGCTCTTTAACATAGACGGCGCTGTATTTCTTGAGTTTCGCTGCTATCGGCAGGCTAGAGATGCCTCGCGAATGTCAATCCAGCAGCAGGTCAATCCTCCCCAGTCTAGTCCGGAGCGATTTACCCCGCTACCCCGCCATCCGGCCATTCAGGCCCCGGTATCACTACACTGCGAGCGGCAACCTTTCACTTTCAACTCAACGGCTCTCATTCCAGCTCAGCTCATCGACCATGGCTTTCATCCGCCCGTACAGGGCATCTGACTTTGATGCGACGGGTCATATCGTACGTCTCGAAAGTTCTTATCGAAGCTTATCTTTGTCCTGCAGCGACTGACAATTAACCCAGTGCCGCGCTACGCTACCACCCTCCCTCGAGCGCTCCGAAGCAGCGACCAGGACCGCGCCTTACCTATGGACACATCAATACACTCACCTCTCACCTGAGACATGCCACATCCTTGACGACGGCGAGGGAAACTGCGTCGGCTACTGCATCGGCTGCCCCAACGTGGACGACTTTGCGACTGCGTACCCGCGGTACATCAAGGAAATCCTTGAGATCTCCAAGGAGCTGGATGGGAGGAAGCCCAAGAGTCTCGAGACGAAAGAACCATGGAACTTCCCCGACACGGGTGAGGTGAATGAGGAGGCTCTTTTGCAGCAGGCTTTCAACCCGACATGGCTCGTGCTTGATGATGAGAGGAAAGAGCTTTGGGGCAACTGGAAGGCTACGATGCATATTGACCTGCTGGAGCCGTGGCAGGGGAAAGGCTGGGGAAGAAAGCTGATTGACAAGTTCGTCGAGAGTCTCAAAGAGGCCGACCAGCGCCATGGCGGCTCGAGCGGGATCAGGCTCTATGGCAAGGGCGTGCATATTGGCGTTGGTGGCGAGAACGACAAGGTCGTGCCGTTCTACGAGAAGCTGGGATTCCGGGTATATCCTACAAAAGAGAAGGGGTCAATCTGGATGGTGAAGGACGTTGAGTAGATTCACTTTCCCTCATGTCCTCTTCCTAACATCAAGTTCAATTCAATATTACCGTGACTAGCAATACCAATCTCTGTTTATCGAAGAAAAAAGAAAAAACCTCCACTTTAGGCGAAGTTGAGTTTCCAGACGTCCCCGAGCCTCGAATTATCCTCAGCAAGGCCTCCGTGTACAATCACACTCTGCTTGCTTCCATCAACCACCACATCCGCATCAAACCATCCCCTCGGCGGTGGCGCATCCCCCTCGAACACGACCTTCTCCCACTTCCTTCCTCCAACATCGAAAGCCCACACGTCCGAGAGCATCTTCCCAGCACCAGCGTGGCCCAGTGAACTGGGATCACGCTCACCGAAGAGCGTCACAAGATGTGGCTTGCCGCCGACGTCAACCGCCACGAGCGCGGACACGCTTCGTGCCTCGGGACCCTCAACGCCATCCGGCTTGTACGAAATCGTAGACCACGCAGCGGAAGCAGGGTCATAGACATCGAGAGCACCACCTTGCTCCGAAGTGCCGTCGAAGCCGTTCATACGGTACAAGTTGCCCCCAGAAAAGGCGATAGACGCGCCGCCGCGTGCTGGGGGAGGTGCTGCGGCGATCTCTTTCCACGTCTTTGACTTGATGTCGAAGGACCACAAGTCAGAGAGGCGGCCCTTCTCTGGGCATCCTGCGTGGACGTAGATGGTCTTGTTACCGTCTGAGGCGGTGCAGTGGTAGCTCCGACCAGCCGGGTGTGGTGCGTTTGCGTCGGTCGGCTTGAGGAGGTCCCAGCGAGCTTGGATCGGGGTGTATCGCCAGACGCCACCACTTTCCTCAACAGGTTCCATGGCTATACCGCCGCGGCCGGAGAAGAGGTAGAAGGCATCTTTCAGCACCGTGCTGGGCGCTCCGACTCTCGGAGTTGGGGCCTCGGTGTCGGTTGAGATGGTCTTGGCCGAGGCCGAGTCTGCTGGAGGAGGTCCGTCAGTGGTGAGAGTTGGGTATGGATTGGTTTGAGAGTATACCTTTCTCGGAATGAAGCTCGACAACGTCGACTTGATTGTCTACAGGCTCTCGTGGGAGGAGCTCACCGCCAAAGACGTAAGCTTGGTTACCGACCACCGACACTGCCTGTGAAGAACGCCTGAGGCGGTCGTTAGATGCGAGTCGAGCCCAAGTGGCGCGAACTTTGGCCATTTTTGCGGAATATTAAATATGCTAAGAATGATTTAAACAGACGGCGAATGCGTGGGGCATCCAACACAACTTCTTCGCAGGAAGCCGCCATACTTATAACTGGATACCCTAGTCTTGAGATCCGTTATGTCTCGATCTGATGAGGAGCCTCACCCAATACTCCTGCCCAGCCAGGTGCTCCACCACACAATCTGACCAACGATGTCAAGCATCGCCATGTTTCTGAATCACGTAGAACGTGTCACTGAAAATGTTGGACGCACTGTGGTTCGGCAGACAAGGTTGTAATCTGCTCATGCCGGAGCCAATTTGTCCTCCGTGACTTATGTCATCGGAGCTTGTCTGGTTGTGTTTCCTCCGCTTAGTCACGGTCATAAGTCCTACCTCGCCCCGTTTCCTATGGGGAACCGCCCTCTGCCGTGCACATCACGGAGAAGAAGAGGTTCCATGTTCTTAACGCCGAAATCGGATCAAACAACAGCTTTCAGACTTGATATACGACTGGAGCTCGGAACTCTTAGGCGTACGTATTATTGTCGCCTTATGCTTGACCAGATGTTACTGGTCAGGTAATTTTCTTCCCGAGGAGTTTACTACCGACGCGTGAATTTTTATTAAGTACATTTAAGTAGGTGAGGGCCACTCGAAGAAACAATAAAAGAGTTCACCCCCCCGGTGCTGAAAAGGGGGCTACATCTCTTGGTGCTCATGCCGGGATTCGAAATTGGGTACTCGTATGCGCTGAGCCTGTCGTCCAGTAGGCTGGTTGGCGCGAACAATTGGTGACCATCAACCATTCCACCACCACGCCACATTTTGACCTGACCCCCGACCTAGAGGGCGCCTGCTGTGTTGGTGATAGAAATAGAGTTGAATGGGGGGTATTTACCCTTCTCGTTTCTTCGGATGAGGGTATTAAAGAGTCACGTACGGAAGGCACGACCAAGACTACGCTCCTTCCGAAGTTTAAGTCATAATTACCCGGATGGCGCTCCCCCTTGTGTAAGAGGTACACGTTGCTCTAGGAATCACGGTGTTATATATGTGGTTATCGATGTTGGCCTGAAAGTTCAGTGTTGGAACAAAGGGCTTGGCCTAGAGTAGAAAGAACATTGAACCAAGCTGGGTTAGAAAAATGGGATATTAATAGTGGAGGAACTGCCGTTCGGTTACCTTATGTTATGAACGCCTCGAATTTCGGAGTTGCAAATGTGATATGTGCCCAAGTTTACGAATTTCTCTTTTGTTTATTATCGCTCTATTTATACCACAACTTTGAAGACTTGGGGATAGAAGAGTCTTAGGTGCGGGAAATGCCTACAGATCAATATTCGAACTCAATATGAGAACCTTAAAAGCAACTTCTTATGCTCTATGTTGAAATTAGAGGGCATGCGATATAAAGAGATGCCTGAGCGGCTAGCTAACACTGCTTACGGCTGATGATGTTGTCGAACCCAGGATCGTCAGATATCTTACACAACTATACTTTTTGACGTTCCTAAATCGAATCAGTGCTTTCCAGTGATTCCTTGCCTGGCCGGGTATCGATACACCTAAGCCACCCTGCTGTCCGAGCAACCAGCAGGAATATTGACTTCACCTTTCCAACCGGAATATACACATACCTCCATTTATTCAAGTCTTGAGTCACGTGTTATGTAAAATTCACTGGATTCACCACCAAGGAGTGATGGAAGCTACCGGACCATTCCTTCCAGTCAATGGGCCTTCCTTCCTTCCCCATAAATGACAGGTTCAGCTCTTAATTCACCTCACCAGGGGGTGAGAGCTCCAATCCTCTTTTCTTCCTCGTCACATTCCACGTCAAATGTTGTTTTCTCTTTCCTTTTGACAACTTCAACCCGTGAGACTCTTTGAGGCGTCTTGCTCCTCTGTCGATAATCTTCCAGCAAACAAGCAGCTATTCCCCGGGAGCCTCGGGCTTCGGATTCCACGACAACCCTGGTGCAACTGTTCCGGACTTCAGCACCATGGATTTCCCTAAGGGCATCGAGGACATCAGAGTCCACGAGCTTACTTAAGATAACCGTTGTTACTTCGCAGTTGGGATTGAGGTTCGGGAAGGTACGCTAGAAGCACAAAGGAGTCGAAAGACTGATGGTGGATGCGACTTTGCTTCAGGTCATTCTTTAATTAGCCTCTGGACAGTCTTTGCCCGCAATGATACCCGGTAACAGCAGATCTGGGGCAGGGTAGGAACAGAAAGGATGGTCCGAAGTGCGCTACATACTTCGTAGCACCATTGCGAACAAGAGATCGGGCTGGGTGCGGAAGCGACCGAAGAAGGCCTCCGAACCTAAAGTCTAGATAATGAGCTAAGGGAGCTGCACCATCACCTTGAGTTGAATTCAAAGATCCTCGACTGATTGCGAACATGGAATGATATTATGTTTCCATCGTTTGAAGCCCGATGATCACGCTTGCTTGGCGTACCAGCAAATTGTGACACTGAACGTTCTTGTTCAACTTGAAGCACAATTTGTCTAAGAAGCATAAACAGTACATGTCTCATAATAGCTTCTATTGATAGCATTGTGTCATGTGTTCTCTTAAACGATTCAAGTCTTCCTGACAGACAGGTCTCTATGAGACCTAAGACTGTACGTTAGCCGGATACTTCCTGCTCTGATACAGCCCCATGAAATCACGGAGAAGCTTGTTGTGGGAGCGTATACATCAAGTTCGATGTCAAGTGCACTGACTCCATCACCATGCTCTCTTGGAAACATCCCTGTGGCCAAGTAGGTAGGCTCATCGGAGTACTTACTCATGTACTTGTCCTTTGGCCATTCACAGCTCGCCTATGATGCAGTCCGTAGAGCGAGACCCTACTAATGAGCTCTAAAATTTCGGGATATTGTCACGAATACACTGCTCCAGTCAAGGATGAATAAAGTCAGCAAAAATGTTGTTATAATGTTCATATCAGTTGCGAGGAAAGTGTTGACAGGTTTCATTCCGCTTGAAATGGCAGCATAATGCGCGCTACAAGACATGAATAAGCGGTCGGAGACTTTATTTCGGCGTACTATGCAGACTTCGTCTTTGGTCGTCTCGAGGGCTTTGAAGATTATAAGGCGAGACAGACGGTGTCTGAAGGAGTTGCGAGGGATGCACTCCAAGCCTCTAGCGCAATGATATGGGGAACCCCGAGTTGGTGTCGAGTCATCTTGAGCGCAACCGCCCGACAAAATATCATCAAAATCTCACCATGACTTTGTCAAGCTTTTTTGTTTCCAAATATATCAGTCAATATGTAATGCTTCATGCTGGTTGGTTGGCAACTGAGCATAAGAACTTCTTGGAAACTGGCCTCAGAGTTGCCTTACTTGTGGCTTCTATATAACCTTGACCATCCGATGTTTAGTTGTGCCATATGGTATCTTCTGCGAAAAGTCCAGTCGCAGTTGTTCCAGGTAATGGTAAGAGCAGGATCTTATCTCGTGACGAGGGTACTAGAATGCTACGCTGTGGTAATAGCAGAGGGCCTTTCCTACTCGCTTGAAATGACGATCCGACAACCTGTCACCCCGTCCCTTTCTGCACCTCCGCCAACAAGCTTGAACAATGACCAATGCCAAGGCAGTGATTCGTCAGAGATGCCATGATGCTTTGTTCAACCGGTGCCTCCATGTTACACTGAACCCCAGAATAGGTCGCTGTAGCCGAAAGACAGTTATCAGATGGTCTGAAAGTTACCTTCGCCCAGGTTGCGTGCCAGAATGCGAGCTTCGAGCTACCTAGAACAAGCACTAGGGAATGCCATATCCAACATATCCTTGCGGCAGACTCTCTCCGAAGTCAGTTCGGCAGATTTCGTCAGAATAGTATTATAGGGCTGAGTGATGTGGCTTGTTGTGTCCTTTTTACGGAGTGCTCCGTACCTAATGTGCAGAGAGCGGCGCGCGGGTTCCGGCAAGGCCCCGACTACTTACGGCGGGAGCTATGATCTACTTGCCCAGACGGGAGAGGCCGGGCAGATGGATGCTATACGTGCTCGGTAGCTCTGCAAAGTGATTCGATGATTCGATCTATTGGCGTTTGTAAAACGGTCATCGTTTTAAAGATGATATTTATTGGTCGCTGGTGCAGCCCATTGGTAGTGTTTGCCGTTCATCCCACTGGTGAAGCTTTAGATAGGCCTGAGCTGAACCTTCTTTGGCTTTCTGTATGAATTGTGTTTATGTCGTTTCATTTCGACGAAAGTCAATTTGGTACAGTAATCGCCAAATTAAACCCTCGGTCGACTGGACGTCCGGTGTAGCACGATTCATACCGGCCTGCTGGCGACCTTTAATGGCTCGTTGGATGCTTCTCCGGGGACCAATTGAGGCGATCTAGACTTTTGAGCTTATCTAGATAATAGACTGCCTCCGCTGGCCCGATGAAGGTGATATAATCAGTTCGTTTAGTGTGCTTGCTGATTTAAAATAACCACTCCTTACGACGCGTTGCTGGCCATTCGTTCATCTAATACTTGACTATTCAACACAATCACTTTTCATTATCGGTCGAAGTCAACATGTACAGCTCAACGTTGATCATGGTTCTGTTCGCAACGGGCAGCCTAGCCTCCGTTCTACCCCGGGCGGAGGACCCGGCCTTCAAATTTCAAATGGCTCCCGACAAAGCCAGCCGATCACCTTGCCCGGTTCTCAACGCTCTCGCCAATCACGGATACCTGCCTCGAGATGGCATGGACATCACCATGGACCAGCTCAAGTTCGCCTTTAGCAAAGCGCTCAATATCGACGAGAAAGTCACAGTCTCCCTCAGTACACCCGCTCTCACAACTTCGACCACAGGCAACGCGAGTACCGTCAACCTGGCGGACATGGCCAAGCATAACGTCATCGAGCACGACGGAAGTTTATCTCGTGCGGATCAGGCTGTTACAGGTAACGCCAACAAGTTCGACGCTACGGTCTGGAACCAAGTCAAGGCTCAATTCACCGGTCCGACAATCGACATCAAGACGATGGCGAAAGCCCGGAGTATCAGAATCAGCGCCGCGATGGCGGAAAACCCTCAGTTCAACCTGACGCCGGCACAAGTCAAGACTTCCTTTGCTGAGTCTGCCTTTATCCTGGGTGTCATGGCTGGCGACTTTAAGGCTCCGATGGCCCCGACACAATTCATGAACATTATCTTCGAGCAGGAGCGCTTCCCGTTCAACGAGGGATTCAAGACATCGGCCACCAAGGTTACGGGGGATCAGGTTGATGCCTTGGGTGCGGCTATCATGAAGGCCACTGCATGAAGAAACCGATTCGAGGGTTATACGGGAAAGACGCATCTTACAACCTCCTTGGGTGCATGTCTATGTGCGCAATCAGGTCCTGAAGTCGCTCTTTTATCATGGAGAGATGCAAGTGGAAATTACATCAATCTAAGCAAATCAAAAACAATAAGCCTGTTATCGTGGCATAATCTAGGCATTAAACGAACCATGAGCAAACGAGTGTTTAGACAGTGTTGGTTTTGTGAGAGCAGTTGCATCCATGTCTCATTGAGATAGACTGAAACGAATGTCTATCCCCTTGGTTACTATCCGGCGACCCCTGTAGAAGAACAGACACAGTGAGCCGATGGAATCTGACTTCAATAAACTCAGTTCATAAATATAGTCTGCTAATTACTTGAATGATTCCGCCTTAAGTGAGTTTCGTTTATATGTGCTCAGTCCACGGGCTCCGGGTGTGCGACTATGTTCTGAGAAGGCAAGAAAACAAGAAGAAATTCTGTCAAATCATATGGATAGCATTATTCACAACTCCATTCAAACTCACGTTCCGCTTCGTGTGAAGAGCAAACCCCGATACCAACCCGGTAGCTGAGTCTCTGCTTACACCTCCGCCCATGGCAACCCCCTTCTTGCTGACCCCAATCCTTCTGAGGCTTCTGACAACCTTTCTGTAGTTGCCAAAGAATTGATGAGCCCTCGAGTCCTGCCCTGTGACTATTCCATGACCAAGAGTCACGCCCCATTTACCTGCGACGTTGATCGCATGAGCCTTCGAGTCCCGGTTTGGCTGAAGCAGAACCGAGTAGATGCAGCCGGTGTACCTCACAGGCTGATCCGCAATATTAGCCGGGAAGGTCCACGTCTTGCCACCATCGAGAGACAGAGGATGCCAAGGTGTGACGACGAGCTCGCCAACGCGGCACATAATCTCCCTCTCCACAGGCGTCTTAAGAATAGCGACGACTCTGCGCGGACCAGAGGGCGTCTGCACCGCTACGCCCCTGCGGAGAGCCTTGATGGGAACGATGCGGCTTGAAGCGAGACGCACAGGCGTCGAGGCGATGAAGCATACGCCGGAGGAGCTGTTGTAATGGCTCATAGACACTCGCCCGCGGTGGGTAGCGGTGTGCTGGTTGGAGGGTTTGGGCGGAGGAATGCTGTCAAACGCGTGATCCAACCTGTTCCTGCACGCGATGAAGAGAGGACTGTCGTCGCCGTACCGGAGCGGCCCAGGATCTTTGAAGGTGTTGCAGATTTGGCGCGTGTGCGCGTTCAAGTATGAGGGTATGTAGTGGACGCCCCATTTTTTGTAGTACTCCTCGTTCGTCAAGGCGAGAGAGACTTGGCCCTTTGGCTGAGCGCCCTCGAGATCCTCGACGAGGGACTTATTGTTCGGGTCAGATGGGAAGCCCTTTGCCGGTAGGTCTTTGATGAGTGCCTTCAGCTCCTTGATCTTCTCGGGTGAGATACGGAACAAGGCCTTATGCTCGCCGTCGGGAGCAATGGGGATGATGGTCGAGAGGAAGGAACAGATCTTGGAGCGAGAGAGGTGGTAGGCAAGCTCAGATTCGGGAAGAGTTGTCGGGACCAGGAGCGATTGTGAGGTGCTTTGTCCGTGAATGCTACTTGCCATGCGAGAGTACTGGATCGAGGCCTTGACAACCGCATTCTCTGAGGTGAGCTTCGCAGGTGCATCTACCCGAAGGTAGATGTCCCTTGACTGACCGTATTGCAGATTTCCGAGTGAGATGGAGAGTTCATGCCGATCTGGTAGACCCTTCTTCACGTCACCTTCAAGGATCTCTACTTCTTGCTTATTAACAGACTCGCCCATTGCCTCTTCAATGCTAAGCAAGGGAGAATAGGTAAGGCACAAAGTGGCATTAATGGCGTATGTTGCTTGTAGATTGGCAACAGCATGAACAAAGACGGTTCCCTGATTATAGCTTCAGTCATGGCAACAAAACATCGGCCAAGCATAAACTTACAATCATGCCAGAATCGGGAATGAAGGCATAGTTCCCACCACCTTCCTCGGCGATTGACTTTAAAAGACCAGATCTCAAGTTATATCCGAAGCCGAATGTGTGAATCGAGGCTGGTAGCCGCCCATCTTTGAGCCTCTTAACTTCTTCACGCATCTTTGGCACGTATCCCTGGGCAGGGCACCTTCGTGAGGATTAGCTCCAAAGACTCTCAACGCAAGCACGTAGATAAGGCTCACATCAAGTTCGGCTGTCCATCCGTCAGTACCATCATAGCCGGAACGCGTCCCGTCTTCACGCCTGATCCCCGGCTGAACAGTTTGATGGCTTCCAACAAGCCTTGCCATAAGTTGGTTGCATCCGTGGGTACCATCTTCTTGATGTTCTTCTTGGTAAGGACCTTGTTCTTCTTGTTCATCGGGATCAACTCCTGAACCACCTTCACCTGGGATGCAAAGGTGACGATGCCGAGCCTGTCACCCTCGTCCAGAGTCTCTACAATGGTGAGGGCAGCGTGTCTGACCAAGTCCAATACTGACAGCCCATAGTTCTCTGCTACCTCACCAGGGTTGGCCGGAATCGGGGCGTTGGCGCCCATGCTGCCCGAGACGTCGATGACGAGGACGATGTCGCAGGGGACGTGGACTGTTGGCTTCTCGGGTTGTTTAGGCGGACTGATCTTCGCGATGATGCCGTCCCGCTCGGCGAACGCGTGGAGAGACAACGCAACGTCGTCTGAGGTATCGTACTCCGTCATAGTGGCCGTTGGAGTATCGCACCTGGACGACTCTGCCTCAACGTCTTCGTGCTTGAGATCTACAAAGGAAGACTCTGACTTAGTGTCTTTATCTTCGACCATGTCATCTTCGGTGCTCTGAGAGCCGCTTCGGAGGGGATGCTTGATGACCTAAGAGACGATGTAAGCTGTGAAGCTCCCAGAAACTTAAACAGATGAGACAACCATTGTGTAATCGTATTAGACTCGTTGATAGGGGTGTTTGAAGTTCAAGTGTGACAATTACGAGATCGATCTGAGATACGAGTTTGAATGCAGGTCTTGAAAGATGCACATTCTACAAGGTGAGACTACTCTGAGGTTGCCTGCTTTAATACAGGATTGGCCTCGTCGCCGGATGACTGAAACAAATCCTTTGTGGGAGATCCGTACATGCGGTGAGACTTAGGCTGACACCTAACATGGATTCGGCCTCACTTGGAGGCCAATTCGACAGTCTCGCGCTTGAGCACATGCTAATTATCCAATGATAGCTTACACTGGCTCTCCTAAATCGCTCCACGGGTTTTCAGATGAATGCTACTTAGCTGCTTCTGCCTAAAGGCTAAGTGGGATTACCCTTCTGTAAAAAGGGGCAATGTGTCAGTATGCCAAAAAAGCTTTGGCTGTGGAAGGGCAGTGTTCACGTAGTAGTTCGAACAACGAGACTGTTCTCGTACGGGCTTTGGGTGGGTCTCCGAAGCCTGGCCGAGCCGGCCATTCGGTGCCGGGCTCTCGGATGGGGGCCGTGGGGCCCAAGGACTGGCATATCGCAAGGCATTCTGAGTGCCCAGTCTTTGAGGAACGGTGTTTGTGGTGGTAATTTGCTATGTGGCGGTGTGGTTTGCTTCGCCTCGGTGAACTTGCTCAAGGACCACGGCCATTTCTCCCCACCAGGAGGCTTCCAGGTGGACCAGCCTACGAGAGACGCATAAAGAGCATCATCCATCTCTATCCGACGGACATATAATGCGCCGGGTGCACTAAAGTTCTAGCTTCATTCTGGGCTCTGCCTCTTCCTGTGCCATATCTCCAATTCCATTCTCAGATCCGAAATAGTCTGCCTAGCCTATTCCAGTTGCCCGTAGACGTAGGCTGAAGTGCTGACAGGCGAGTGACTCAGATGCCGCTATTGTCAGACGCACACGGCTAACGCAAGGCCCTTTCAGGCTTCAGCTTACCCTCATCGTCTCAAGTCGATCTGGATCACAGACGGTGGAAAGCTCACTCAAACCCTCTGCAGGAAGTCAGAAGTAGAAAATGGTGGTGAGGTCTCTCCCCTCACGGAACTTTGGCCTGCCCAGAAGCTCTGGCATTTTCGAACGCTGCGACACAGCGTCCCTTTGCCACATGAGGGGCCCCCAGTCTCCCGTCCATCTTTTGCTAGGATGTTCGTTATGCCTCGCAGCAACGGAGGATGATTCGCTCCATCTGCCTCCCGCTAGCACAGGCTGCGCCGCAAAGCAGCTGGATCCAGCAGAGCGTCTTTGGTGTGTTGCATTGAGAAACCCCAAGTCCAAGACGGGGATGGCCGCTGTTCTGGGGGCAACTCTGTCCCCACAGGGGTCCCTGTCACGCCGTTTTTAGAGTTTCACGTGCGTTCAAATTTTAGCAGAAACATTTGCGTCATAGCTAAACTTGGGGTTGGGAGAAAGGGGCAGATTTGTCTACCTATGTAGGTACTGCGGTAGAAAGATGAGAGTTGAGCCGGTCTACCGAGTTCTGGGCGCCGCTTGGTCACTTTCGGCGATGGTTCACCTTCTGCTTGAGGAGCCTGAAGTTAGTGCCGGCTGATGGCTCGGAACTCTCGCTTCGTTGCCTGCCAGGGCACATTAAAGGCACATACGAACGACCTCGTGTGTGTAGTCTTCAGTCACTTCTTCTGACGCAAAGTCGTGTAGACATAAAAGGGGTATGCCTCGATGATGGGATAGAGGACGAGAATACAGAGACGGTAGTATGCAGTTGAGACACTCGCGCTACCCACCCACGTCTGGAAGCGCTTTGGTATCGTCATCAGGCCGTGCTACGACACTCCACGCATCGTGCCAAGAAGTCCCTTGACCAAGAATGAACCCAAACATAGGAGAGAGAAGAAAATTCCAACTTAGGCATGCGTGCAGTACATTCAACTCATCCGGTCATGGGGAGGGAGAGAAGCACGAAAACAGACCGCCGTTGAGGGAAGGAAAATATCGGCGCAATACAACGCAATGACAACCGAGTGTCTTTCATTCGCTTGGCACCCGCCAAACTTTTGGGGGGGTTGGGTCTCGAATAGCCGCGAGAATGCCTCATTTTCATGCTTGCACGGGGTTAGGTCGTTTGACGACGGAGGAGTAGATCTGAGAAAAGGCCCCGTTTGACGGACATCGCCGGATGTCTCCTCGCCATCGTGTTGTCGAGCTTGAGTCGTGGGCTGTCTGTCAGTCGATTCATCTCCACGTTCTTTTTTCGGTGTGAGCCGACGCAGGCCGCATTGAAATGCCCCGTTTCCTTTGTCCTTATTTTTGGTCATCTTCATATTGAGAGGAGCCTTATTTTTGTGGACTCATTTGCCGCTCTGTCGAAGACGTTTCTGGTGTTTTTCGCCCGTCTTATTCTTCCCCGGATTGACTGGTAGTTAGGTTCCGTTGTGGTATCGATACACACACCCTCCCTTCTACCGTGTCATGCAGTGTGGCGTTTGCTTGTTATAAACCTTCGCCAAAAGTCACCGCCCGCTTCTAAAGGCTGAACACAGAGCTACCCCAGATCATCGAGGAACCTTGCCGTCCGTGGTTCAGTGGCGCAGGAACTGATGCGACTGCTTGGCCTCCCAGAGGCTGCCATTCTTGCCCCAGGTTTTCCACTTTCACTCCCTCCCCCCAAAGCGTCAAGTCTGACCGTTTCGCGTCGAGAGATCTCACTTGAGTCGATCTCGCTCATCTTGCGGGGTAGTTGAGAGACATGCCGTCAGGGCCCTCAGGGGGCGGGAAGACGGCACGACTATTGGGCAAGAGTTGATCGTCTTCGTTGGCATACCAAGATCAACACCTTTTGTGTTCATCTCTGGAGCCCGAGCTTGGGCGGAATGAGAGCTGGATGGCACGATGGTCAGGTAGTTGGATCGTCAGAGTGACTGACAAGCTCAAGCCTCCGGTTGAGGAGTTAGAACCTCCCACATTATCCTCTGGATTCCCATCGCCGGCATTCAACCCGAGTAGCCCGGCGGCTGTTGGCTGCATCGTGGTGTCCCCCCCCTCCTTTTCGGATAGCATCCCCCCAAGCAGCTCCCCTCCATCTTCCATGTCTTCTCTCCACATTGTAATCGCGGGCCTTTCATTAGCTCGGTTTCCATTTCCATTTCCCCAGCATTCGCATAATTATTGTCGTCATCCAATGAACGGGAAGCCCACGATGTCTTAGTCCAACCAACTGCCAGGTGTGTGTGTTACCCCCCTTGCCCCGGGACCGGACTAAAGGTAGTGTATCCTTGGCCGCGTCGAGCTGCCTGCAGGTCTTCGTGCAGCGAAGCGCAACTTGCAGCGCAAGCGACGTGGGGGGAATTGTGCACCTGGAGACGCGCTGCAAGAAAGCTTGTGAGACGAACTGCAGAGTACTTACTTTGCTCACTACTTTCATCTCCCGCGCCTCATGCATGCAGATGACAAAAAAGGGTGAATGCTTCAAGTTCCCACCCTCCATCCACCCAGTAGAGGTCGGATTCTTCGGAGCTAGGCCTGCTAGCTGACAGCTGTCTGGAGCTTCCGGAAGCTGTGCTGTCTTGTTGAATGCCCTAAGCTCCAAGTTTTATTGCCGGCTAGAACTCTGTCGGGCGTCGTGCCACACCTCATCTGTGCATCTCCCACAGAAGTGGCTGCCTTTTCATATAGGCAATGAGGGGAGATGGATGGATGGAAAGCCGACAAGAGAGTTCGCTAGAATGAAGGCGCGTCAAGGTGTGTGCCATCCCACAAACTAGGACAGACAATTTCATCTGTGCATCTCCAAGCGCTGCGTTTCACCCGCCGAACCCCGGAGCCTGCCGATGGGGGAGAAAGGGTAAGGGCTGGGGGAGATGGTTCTTGGTGGCAGAGAGTATAAGCTGAGTGGGAGCAAACGTGTGGTTGTTGTCCGAAAAGTGTTACTCGATGGCTAAGGGTAAGAGAATCGCAGGACTTCCGCCGAAGTCGCATTCTCCCCCTTCGCGGTTTCGCCCAACTCTGTTCCCTCTTGGCGCTCTGGCGCACGTTCCTTACACCTACGTCAGGCCTTCTTACCAGTGCTAGGGTGTGTGCGGTCTCCTCGAGTTGTCATTCGCCCGCGAGAAGAAGATGAGAGAGTTGAGAGACAAGACAAGCGCAGCACACAGCTAGGGCGGCGGCTGGGGGGACTACTCACTGCATCCTTCTCACCCGTTCCGTGTATGAATGTCTTTCTCGCACTTTTATTGAGTTCTCGAGTTGTAATAAGGCCCTGTCAACAATTGAACTAAACCCCGCATTCGACTCGATCGGTATGCCGATTTGCTGGGCCCCGGCCGTGTGTCTGCGCGGGCGGCGGCCACCCCATCTCAGGGTCCAGCCAACCATGAACCTGGCATACCTAGCAGACGTCTTTTTCTCTTTTTGGCGCTTGCTTGCTCAAACTCTGTCCTACCCTGTCTTGGGTTGTCCGATGTTGCCTTACTTTGCCTTGCCTCTCCTCGGCCTACTATGTACACCCGGCTGAGCCGTGCACACCACCACTTACTTACATACACCTCCGAACCACAACCATTACGGACAGACCAGGGGTCCAAGGCTCCGAAGAGGGTTGGCTGGGTTGAGGTAGAGGTCCGCCGCAAATGAATGGGCGTTCGAGGGTTGAAGGTAGGCAAGGTAAATGTCTATAAGTGCGAGCCTTTCCTCCTCCTTCTTCCTCCTCGTTTCTCTCCTTCCCCTATCATCACCATTCCTCTCAACGACAAAGAAGACAACTCTTTGAAGCAAGCTACATCAGCTCTCAACGTTTATAATCCATCAACAGCACCAATCAACCGTCAACATGCCCGTCGCTCCCTCCTGCTGCAAGTGCGGAAGCATGATCGTCATCAGCAACTCGTGCCCGTCCTGCGGCCACCACGAGTGCCGAACCTGCCTCTAAATCAACAATTCTCGAGATGTAAGGCCGTTCAAGATGAATCGAAAAGTTTTTCAATACGACGGTATCTACATTGCACCGAGAGAGGCTCCGAAGCTCAACACCCAAGAAAAGGGGAAAAACTTACACCACACACCCACACCAACCAGGCTGGCAAATGGCCCCCCCACACTACCACCCAAGCCGATGAATTCCGAGCTTTCATCCACCAGACACCTCAAGCTTTTTTCACAACCTCGCAGCCTCGAGGCTTCAACGAAAAATTTTCGGCGCTACATCAGCAAACAACCTACACGGCTACTCCGTGTGACTCTACTCCCTTGATGGAACGGTGGCGACAATCAACGGGCTGGCTTTTTTGGCGTCTGAAATTTTACACTTGTTTTTCAATGATCAATACCCCCATACCCTTGTTTTGATTGTATCAATATTTTCGCAGTACTGGCGTCGGTGTACGAGAGACGGCGGGCTCCGGAGACGGAATGCTCGGAGGAAAGCATACTAATTTTCTTCACTCGTCTCTGTGCACAAGGATATGTGTCACTTCTCCGTAAAACAAAACAAAACTGCCCAAATACAAAAGAATAAAAACATTTGAAATTCACATAATGAGTATCCCACATTCATACTGTGTAAACCAAGACGATCGTATTTCGCCAGCCCTTGGTCAACAGACCGGTCATGCCTGAGCGAGACGATGCCGGAGAAAGTGGCCCTCGCACAGCGGTGTTAGCGCCGGGTTTTACTCCTCGCAGGTTTCCGCCCACACGGAATCACGGACCACAACGGCCCATGGTGGAGGATACATCGCATGTTGTGGTTGCCGAACCACCATAATTTAACCATCGGCCCATCGTGAAACCCTGTGGCACATTGCCGCTGCCCGCGTCTGGTCTGGTGCTTGCTGCGAGAGACCAGACGGGATGGGGGTGTACGGAGCATGTACGGAGCCGCCCCGTCCGATCGACTTGCGTGTGTACATGTAAGGTGGGCTTGCCGAGGTTTTCTAGAGTCTTACATGGGAAGAGATAGCAACTATCAAGTAGCCATACTTGCAAGTATCAAGACATAGGCACTAACTACTAGTGAAAAATATCAAAGTATCTACAAGTTGGTCTCATTGATGCGTGCACTTAAATATAGACAAGTGGTTCACAGAATTTCCTTCTGTAGGTAGCTAACGTCGTCCTTGAACTGAAACCAAGTCTGCCCTACGCGGCTAATCGAGGATATTGCTTGTATGGTTCAACACTCTAGAGTCAGATTTACGAATTGATACTAAGAACGCCATCCAACCAGTGTGATAGGTCTTGCACGTACAAGTAAGGCTGCTTTTTTGTTTACGTCAGACTTGCCCGGCAACCTTGGACCAGTCACCCAATGGAATCGTGCAACAGCTCGCGATCTAATCTCGCCAATCACAGTTTCAGTGAATGTATATCTTAGACCTCTCACGTTAAGGTCCAGTCATGTATGCACGGGTACTCTCAAGAGCACTCAAGAGTGCTCAAAGTATAGGACTTCACATGCCAAGGGCGTTTCGGAAGTATTTACGAGAGCTGTAATAAACAGCCGGTCCAAGTATCCCGTAATCGTCTCTGACATGTGACCTCGATGACCAATGATACCTTGATTGGATGATACACCCGTTTGGGCCACAAAGACCATCTCAAAATACATGTATTCTTCCGGGAAGCCAGGGTTAAGAAGAACATAGCATGACAGCTGCCCTTACGGGCTGGCTCTATTAAAATATCTTGATGAATGCGGTGTCGTTAAATTATGTATGAAAGCGTAGAACCAGAGCATACGTATACGTTAGGACCGTTCAGCGGGCATCTTATTAGAAATTGTGTGCTTGTTTCCCTCATAGAGCCATCTCCCTGTCCTCCTCTTTCCATGCGAGTTGATTCGGGGCCAGGAAGACCTAAATGAGGAACGCAGCGATGCCGGTAGCCACGGAAAGGGCCAAGATCATGCCGGGGAAAAGGTCGATACCATTGCTAGTTGGGACCGAACTCGGCTTGCCAGAAGTCGTGGCAGTCGCGTTAGCAGCACCAGTAGCGGTAGCAGTAGCTACGGCAGCAACTGTCTGAAGCAAAGAGGGTGTTGCCGTGAATGCCATCATGTCCGTCGCGAATGAGACGCTCGTAAAGGGCAGGCTTGAAATTGAGGATGCGCCCTGGAAAGCGACTCGCTCAGATGCTGGTGCCGCTGGCTTCAAGGAAGATCTATCAAAGTTTCCAGGACTCAGAACACTAAAGAAAGTTTAGTCCAACGCACATCTGCTATGATCATTGTGATTCACTGACCTGTCAATGACGTGGGCGACACCGTTGAACAGAATCGTGTTGGGGAACGTGATTCTTGCGTTATTGACCCAGGCTGAACCATCAGGCAAGACTGTAAAGGTAAGGTTGTTTCCCTGCAGAGATGGAACTGTGACGTTGCCCAAGGACGGCGAGAAGATGACGCTATTGGGAATGATGTGGTATCGAAGAACCTCCTGGAGCGTTTCCAGGCTGGCAGTCTCAAGAACAGAGCCAATTGACTTGAAAGCTTCATCGGTGGGAACAAAGATGGTATAGTCGGAGATGTTGAGACCTTGTTCATCGGCACCAGTCTCACCAAAGGCAAAGCCCAGGTGCGCAGCTTCCAAGGCGGCGTTCATGGCGAGATAGCCCGCTCGGAAGGTGAAGAGCTGGAACGGGGCACCGAAGGAGAGCACCGTGTCGATTTTGTGGATAGTGATTCCCTCTCCAAGTTTGATGTCCTGTTTTCCATGTCAGTACAATGCTTCCTTGGAGCTCTACATCAGGGGGACACGAACAGCCTGAGTGACAGTGGAGATGGTTTGCTCTCCCGACAAGATACAGACGTCCTTGCCATTCTTCACGAGCCCGTTGTAGGCGCCCCCTGTGAAGTTGGAGAAAGGCTGTCTGTAATCGACGTAAGAGCCATCAAGCAAGGTCTGAGCAAAGGTAGGAACGTCGGTGATCACGTTCGACGGATAGACTCCTTTGAAGACATGGTTTGCAAGGAGTGCGCCGATCGCAATGGTGTTGTTGCGATACTCGATAGCCTCGCCCTCGGGGATATCTCGAGGCACGTTGGCAAATGCTTGGTTCGTAGGGGCCACGATAGTGATGTTGGAAGATGAGGCGAGAGTGTCTGCAAGTCCGGGAACGAGACTGACGAGTTCAAGCAGCGTGCTGAGGTCTGGCTGAGAGGCGAGGAGCGCAGCAATGTCTCCCTGGGCCATAGAGACACCAGCCATGAGGAAGGCAGGCAACATTGAAAGACGCATGATGAAGTTATTCGGAACTCCTGTGCTACTTGCGACGAGGTATGAATGGTCGGGATTGAAGGTTCAAGTGTGATGAGATGATGGTTAATTGATGTGTTGCTGTTGATGCCCCTTTATTCGAGTCTAAGAGCTCGTCACATCTTGTTTTATATCGCGACTCAACTTGAAGCTGCGCCGCACAGGTCTCCGCATAGTTGTAGTATCTCCTACATCCAGCCTCTCGTATAGAAAGTCATGACGTCCTGACGATGTCGATGAATCGAAGTAAACCCAACTGATCGAGAGTTTAAGCTATGTAATGTTGTGTTGAGCAGTAATTTTCACGAGCGATGTTGCCCAGACCTATACAGCCTTTGCCCGAACCCGAGCAAACCAATAGCGGGAGAGTGCCAGAGAGGCGAAACCGACGATGTTGACTGACCGCACATTTAAAAGAGGTTCAGTTTAGCCCGGCTTTGCCCATGATCTTGGCAACAACAGCTATGGTGGGGTTACGACAGCTCGTTCGAGCTTAGTTCGTTGTCCACCTGCAGGACAGAGTCGGATCCGGCACCAGATTCGGGCCAGTCCAACGGCTGAGCCTCACGTAAGGAGTTGCCTGCCCCCAGTACGTTTTCGAGTCGTGTTCGTCATGCTGCACAGTCCTGCTGACAGCCAATAGGAGAAATATAGCACGGGAGCTTCCATATCTGTCCGGCTTCGCTACATAATGCACGCCGCCTAAAGTGGCTTAGGCGTAGTTGGATATTTGTGTGCTGGTGACCTGTCGTTAGAATCGGGAACCGGGTCAATTGGGTCGCCAAATCTTTTGGGAGGTACTCATTCATGAGTGAAGGACTGGGAGTATCACTTTCACGTGGGCTGGTATGAGACCCAAGGTTGAGCCACTCACCGGACGAAGCGTTTAGATCCAGATGAGCAAGGTAAAAATGACAGATGCAGGCAGATGTTGTGATTTGGGTGCCATTATTAAATCGATGTACTCTCACCAAGGCTTCTAACATATGGTCTTCGGCCGCCAAAATGAGTTATGAGACCACCGTGCCATCTATTCTATGGTTCGTCAGACCCATCCTCAACATCAAATTTCCTAATATCGAGCATCTCTACACAGCTGTTCAGGGTTCCTCGGGTGCACTCCATAGAAGACAAATACAGTGAAAACAGAGAGAGGCCTGATCAGAACCATACAAAAATGCAAAGAAAGCAAGACATCTACCAGATAATCAAGAACGAGGTCCTCGAGAAGACAAATGGTTAGGCAGGCCCTGGCCAGGATTCGAACCTGGGGCCTCTTCCAAGATGGTGTTTGAATGCTCAATAACCCTAAGGAAGAATCATACCGCTAGACCACCAGGGCTGATGAGGTTGTTGACGACTTTGTGCCAATCCGATGGGTGTCATGGAGAATTTTGCACATTATGGAGCTGTTTGGTTGATGTGTGGAGTCACGAAGCCCTCATTTCGGCGACCTAGTGAGGAATTGCGTAAAAGCAATTGCTGAAACAGCTGCCCCCGCAGAGGGAGAAACTGTGCTTGTTCCACATCGCTTTGCCTACCTCAAAACCACAGGAAACTTCACTGGCAGGCCAGTGTTTGGCTTGAGGATGTTTGCAATGGTTGGCAGACTGGTCCCTTTCGGGGTACTACGCCCAACCAACTTCTTGCTTTTGCCTTGATACCCTCGGGCGAAATTTCCACACTGGTCTTGGGCTTGAGCCCATCTCTTTGGGTGCTCATCAAGAACTTCCCTACACTGATGCCGTTATTTGCCGTCCGTCCAAAGAAGCTCACCAGCTTATACTTGGTTTCCGAGTTGAACCCTTCTTCGTACGAGTTCAGGTATACCAGAGCCATGCCGATTGGCAATGGCGCTGATTGTATTCCGAACGTCCCCGCGGATGGATGGAAGAAGACGTCGACAATATTGGCGATCTTTGTGCAGTAGAGACGGGGGTCCGTTCGCTCGGGCAGCGCCGAAGATGTTGGTCCAGTTGCAAGACGGAGAGTGCTATAGGTGAGAATACAGATCGTCCAGTATAGCGTGATGATCGAGGCAACGGCAACGTCACAAGCCGTGGGACTATCCGAGCCCCGAGTCGCGAGTTCTTCGAGTTCTTTCTTTGGGCTCAGATTATCGAGCCACCAGTTGAGCTCTCCGTCGACTCGCCAACACTCTTGGATGAGTGCGCTGCGCCTCAATTCTTTCTCCTCTGTGTCTTTACAGCAATTCATTTGATCCAGGTCTTCAAGGAGTCCAGGGATGTCAACGAACACGTCAATCAGGATATCCTTCGGGGTCTTTGGGATAGTCTGCCACGGAATAGTTTTCCAAGCTGGATGGCTTAGCGGGAACCTTCGTCTACGCTTGATGTGAGATATGACCTGTAAGATATCATGAGCATGACTTGCATGGATGTCTGTGAGCCCAGATGACAGGATGGGCTCCAACTCACCAGATGAAGTCGCCCTGAAGCGTACAAGTCGTGGCCATGACCGGCAATATGCCCCTCCGGGGTTCGCTGCATTATGAGGGCAAGTTCGCCTAAAGAATGGCCCTCCCAGCTTTCTGCTTGAGAGATACCATGCCGCTCTCGGTCGTCTGCGCCATAGAGCAGCTTTTGGATAGGAGTTAGTAAGCTGCTGTGGTTCTCTCGGCCGGGGACGACCCGCTCACCTCATAGAAGCCGAGGATTCTCGAAGTCACCATCAAGGCATCTGACTTCCATCTCCTTGAATGCCTTAGGGCAACGTTCATCTCAGTCAAGGCGTTGCAATAGAACTTGAGACCATCGTCTATCATCCACTGCTGCTTGTCGCGACGACCTATTGTACCCAGACTCAGTGCCAATAAGCTCAGACGCAAGGCGGCGTCGGTGCGATAGAGATCTCGCACGGTCATTGCCCAGTCTGCGTTGGAATATCGCATGACAGGACTCCTGGGACTACATAGCGGAGCGTCAGGCATGTAGCCATCCCAAAAGAGCTCGAGGATCCGCTCCTCAAGGGCGGACTGAGATAACGAGCGTGTTTGAATCAGCGCAGGTGAGACCGGCATCAAAGTCGTCACCTTGAAGTCTTTGCCTGTTGATGTCTTGGTAACATTGACAAAGATGCGCTTCCTTTCGTAGCCTGCACATACTAAGCCAGCCTTTAAGCACTGCCCGCATGAAGGTCGTTGCAGGTCGCACTGAGAGCGCTTTTGTCAGCAGTGCAACGCGTCGTTGTTATAATGGACCAGTAGATCAGCCCATCTTGGCAAACTTACGCCTTTCTTACGCTTCCTGCACGTGTTGCAGCCTTTGGAGCGCCCGGGAACTCCAACCATGTTGCTGAATATGTCAAGGATCTCAGAGAGAGTGGGTTCCCGGCGCGAGATGCTTCTCAAACAGGCAAGGTGACGGCGAGGGATGTGACCCGTTTATGACTACGGAGGAATTCTAAAGTCCTGCTCGGGCCAGCAGTTAGATCGAAAAGTACCGAGTGCGCGGCGGGAGCAACCGGTAAGCTTGTATGTAGGCTCCGCCTTACGGTGCGCGCGGACGAATACCAAGATCTTGGGTATGGTATGCGTAGTACGTCAGACTCCAGATGGCTGAGCAACTAGGTAGGGGATCAGTCAGAGGCTGGAGCGAATGATGAGGCTTGCAGAATAATCAAACATGGATTCACCACTAGGCTCAATGACGACGACATTTTCTTCCAAGACACGGGGGAAGGATGCGCCGCTCCTTGAACATCCATCTGGGGCGATGGATTGGGCTAAGCTCACTCGTGTTGAACGCCCGCATGCTTACGTGAATCCACTCAAACGGCTGCGAATGCGGAATGAGCCTAACCCCGTTCGGGAATCATTGTGCGCGCCGTGGACTGTGAGATGCTGTTAGAGATCGAGAGATCCTTACAATAGTCAGACGTTGGATTACTTTTCGACGCCAAGATGGCGTTTGGGCGGTTGAATTCAACCGTGACTCTAAAGTGAGCCACGGCAACCCCCGTATGCTACACTGTCGCGCATTCTCTTTCCCAAATCGAACAAATCGAACATGCGCCTCTCAGACCTTGCAGGGAAGCGCGTGTTGATCCTGGCATTTTCGACTCCAAGAGTGCGTTAGCATGGTCTCGATAAGAATGGGATCGCGATGAAAAAGACAACGGAGTGCGCAAATTGCAAGTTATAAGAGACTGAGACTTCGCTGAAATAAAAACATACGAAAGAGTTGAACATTCATCACAACAGATTTCAGAAACGTATAACTCGGTCTCATCAAAGGATTGCATATCCAATTTCGAATCCACCACACACACCTGTCCTAGAAAGCCCCGAAATCACCATTCACATCAGTAAAGATACCATGGTCCAGCCAACTCGCCCGCCGGCCAATGGCTTCGTCGCCGCAACTCGAAAAGTTTATAACCCCCTGGGGTTCTCGAAAGGCTACAACTTTGTTCTTTTCTTCATCTTCTTCGGTGCACTCATGGGATTTACCCTCGCGCGATTCCAGTACCTCAACTTCGATACGTTCTGCAGTGGAGCAGCGCCAGGGGAATGCTTCAACTACCAAAAGGGCCACGAGAAAGCCGGCCTCATAATCCACCTTGCTGGAATCTTGCCCGCTGGCTTCTTGGCATGTTTCCAGTTCGTGCCAGTACTTCGTCACAAAGTCCTTCTCTTTCATCGCATCAACGGTTATGTTGTCATCCTTCTCGCACTCGTTGGAATTGCGGGCGCCTTGATGATTGCGAGGAATGCCTTTGGCGGCACGCTGGACACCCAAGCTGCTATCGGCGTTATGGCAATCATGTTCGTCACTGCGCTCACCCTAGCATTTGTCAACATCAAGCGACTTCAGATCGAGCAGCATCGAGCATGGATGCTACGAGCGTGGTTCTACGTAAGCTTGCTGTAACAGATCCCAAACGCAAACAGTTAACTTACTTGACGTCGCATATAGGCTGGCTCTATCATCACTCTTCGTTTGATCCAGTTCTCGGCTGCAGCTGTGATTAGCAGTATTGGAACCTATTACGCGGCACGTCCTTGCGATCAAGTTGCTTTTATGGTCGGCAACATGAATCGGACTCTCCAACTCTATCCCGCCTGTGCATCCTACTTCTCCGGAGAGAACCCTGGTCAACAAACAATTGTGCACGCAGACATTCTCAACCCAACATCCGCTGCTGAAGCTGGTGTGGCTGCGGGTATGCCATTTGGTATGGCACTTTGGTTGGCCCTTGCTTTGCATGCAATTGGAATCGAGATATATGTAAGTTCCCCTTATTGAGAATGCTAGTTTGTGGCAATTACTGATAGGATCTGTCTGTAGCTGAAACTTACGCCAGCCGAGACCGAGAGACTACGATACGTTTCCTACAAGAGGCAATTAGAGGCTGGTCTGAACCCTGCTGGACGAGCTGGTATCACAGCCGACAGGATCGGGGATTCTGAGGAATGGCAGCCCAAGCATGAGCCATCTCATGCTAGCTCAAATTCAGACCTATCAAACCCTAAATAAGAACTAGATTCGGCCGATGTTGGTACTTGGAAGGGAATCAGGAGTCAGGTGACATGCAAATGTGTTGGTGTGCGGGCGATAGGCGTTTTATGGAGGGCTCATGCTGCGATTGAATACATAACGCTTTCTTTCAAATTAGGCCTGATACGTCTATTTTGTGAATCCAATCAATCCTAACAATGTCTCTCGTTACAACGTCCATCGGGTACAGCCAGGACGATCGGGGTCATTTTCCATGTACCTGAGAGTGCGAAACTGGTACCATAGTTCGCCGAAAAAACTACGGTCTTCGTAATGATATAACTCACCCAATACTGGCTTGATGGCAGCAGTAGCTGTGTCTGTTTTATAGAATGGTATTCTTCTATGAATGGGGTTAGAGCGTTCAATTCATTCGACTCATTGTGCGTGAGGGCATTCTCAGAGGAACTGCTTACGGAAACAGGTGATGAACCACGTGTCTGTCAATGATGAGATGGAAGAAGTGCCTCCCAATGAAGCCAAAGTCTCTATCAATGGTTGAAAGGGCACCTTTTATAAAAGTCCATCCATCGTCGGTGTAGTGAGGGACGCTGGGGTGGTTATGTTGTAGATAGGTGATAGCGACTGAGGTACTTAGATGTAAGCTTCATTGCCGTAAGAGGATGACCTCAGCTTAAAAATTTAGGGGTTTCGCCGTTTCTTCTTACCAAGCCAATTGTTAACCCATAAGTAAGGAAGAAGATATAGCAGGATTATGCTGGTTGTACCAAGTTCCTTGCTGCACCAGAACAAGAATAAAACCATGAGGCCGAGACCGCAGTCTGAAGCCAAGACGTGCCATGCTTCGTTTTCCCTGAATATAGAACTCCAAGGATCAAAGTGGCTGACTCTCAACCAACGAGAGGGTCCGGAAACCTCTCGCAGAAGACTGTCTTTACCGGCAGACACATTGAACAAAACGTGTAAAGGCCAGCCGAGCAGTTGCTGTCCCATCAGCGAGACTACTTGTACTATTGGGACATCTGATTCTTCCATGGGCCCGGAAGGAGAGAACATGTCTCTGTCAGAGTCGGCTGGTTTCATAGCTGGCACGAAGGCGACGTCCCTAGTTGCGTGTCCTGTAAACCGATGATGGCGCCGGTGAGTGTACTTCCAGGAAAAGTACGGGACCATCAGGAAAGAATGAAGTATGAATCCAAAGGTGTCGTTCATTCTTGCTGAGGAGAAGAGCGACCCGTGGCCACATTCATGGGCCAATACCCAGATACCGGTACACACGAGACCCTGGAGGAAGGAGTACGCTGCCCATGCCAGGAAGTATGGGATGAGTCCAAGTTGATCTTCTTTGATGTATTTAAAGGCGAGACACGCGAGCACTGCCGAAGCCACGACATCTCTGGTGATGTAGTAGAGAGAAGTCTGCGTGCAGGGACGAAAGCAATCCTTGGGGATGACGTTTCGAAGGTCCTGAATATCAGGGTTATCCGACTTCATATTATAAGTTTTCGAACGTGGGCTGAGGTAGAATGTAGAGAGCTCATGCTATTCAATCTTCTCTTCGGTTAGGAGCGCCCCAAATACTAGACACCTTACCTTCTTTATAGAACTAGTGTTTCGAGACCAAATTCCACCTAAGAGTGATTCTGACTTGCCGTCAATTGTCAGTCGCAGGATCTTGCGAAAGTGGCTACGATATCCGAGTCGCACCGAGTCACGTAATAACTGTGAAATGTTGCTGCTACCTCCGTACGACCGAGGTCGGGCACATTCTTCCTACCTGTGGAAATATCGTTTCAATTCACAAGCGAGATTTCAGACTCTTGAGGGGCTAACGAACTCTCTTCCTAGTGATTGAGAACTTCAATAACAGATCTTGCCATTCTTGGCTTGAGGGTTGCTAAAGGGGATCTAAGAATGCCCCAAAGCGAAAACTGGGCAGAAAATATGTCGGTACGCGCGTCTGAATCGCGAGGGCAGTGGATCTGGACTAGATTCCAGTCTCTGGTAACTCCTGTGTGACTTCTGCTGGAAATGATATCGCGTGTTCGGCTCGGTCTTATTATCATTGCTCACTTCTCTACAGTGTTCAGCAGGGACTGACAGAACCGAAAATACCACGACAGGTACCAAACACGGTGAGGAAGATAAGCAAGGGGACGTTTCACGAAGCAAAAGTTCTCAGTGGACTTGCTGACCATATGACAATCATCTAGATACAACTCCGAGATGTCTGTTGAAGATCTCAGGCTAGTACAACTGGCTTCTTGGCGTCCTCTTCTGGATGGCACCTTACATTTATCCAGTCGGTCTTGTCAAATCCACCAACCGATTCCGTGTTGCTCGGGTTTCTTGTGGTTCACAATTCCTCGAGCTCAGACCCCCCGAGCCTCCAGCCCGACTGTCCGATGTCTCAAAAGGCGCTGCTGTTCTTCCATGTTCCATGACCGCAACCGGCGGGCTCCTTCCCGCCTCTTTGGCATGAAACCACCTGCTGATGAAGCTAAGGGAAAATGCGACGATGAATTCTCCGTTCTGAGATAGCCGTATTAGTACTGGCTGTCGCTGAGTAGATAGGCTAAAGATGAATGTTAGTGGACGTTAGTGGACAGGCTAAGCGTCTACGGCAAGTTCGGCAACCACGTCGTTGCACTCAGGCCTAGCTTGCCCCTTAGTAGGAGCCCCCATCTTTCCACTCACCGAAGATGTCGGCATGGTTTTGCGAGTTATGACTTTGCTGCATTAGGGCGTTCAATGACTCGTTTCATATTGTTCGGGGCGAAATCCTTTCCAGAACTTTCGTAAAGAAATACCGCATCGAGAGCCAAGTGTATATGTTCGCCCCGGTTTGGCTTCGGCGCCGGCGAAACTCTGAATGCAGACATTGCGGAGATTTACGGCTTTCGGCCGGGGACGTTCCAAAGTCTGCTATCGGGAGGTGGAATTATTGGCGCCAACTTGCTCCAAGGGACGTCATTTCCATTCTTCACCATGCAGGCATCGCGTTACTAATAGCTGCGCTAGGACATCTGGTGTATGTCTGTTACTATCTCGTTTCGTCAAAGGCCACGAACGGGAAGGGTAGCCGACTAGCTTTCCATCTTCGCCTGCCCGGTTATCGCACATCTGTAAAGTCACCTGTTGACTGCAGTAGTAGCCCGCCCATCGAACCCCAATCATGACAGCCATGTGCAGCTAATGGTCGGCTTCTGTGTGTGCTGAAGAACAGAGCTTATGATAAAGTTCGAGTAGCGGCAAGCCGTCGGTCTTCTTGGAATGGAAGAGTTGTTCCCTCCTGCCGCCGGCATGACTTACCAGTTTTTCTTCTCACTGGGCAATATCTTCCTAGGCGATGCGGTGCCAGACATTGAGATTGATCTCTGAGGCTGTGTATGATTTCAATCGTGAAGTACAGCTATAAAGCCGGCTAGGAACCTGATGTGGCCAGGGAATCTGGACAGAAACGCAAATATCGTGGCTATTGAAGGGTCACAGTATCAGCGTTTACCTGCCTCAATATGGCTCAATACGAGAATGCTCCTAATCAGTTCATCTTGGTCAAGGACTCAAAGATTGCGTATCGTTGGCTGGGACCGAAAAATGGGATTCCCGTGATCCATCTCGTTTCATTCAGGTTAGTCCAGCCTGCTTCTAAGTGACGAGTATGACCTCACACCGACTAGGGCTACAATGAGCCAGATCGATCCGGTTTCTATGAACAAGATAGCTGAAAAGCGGCCCGTGATTCTTTTTGATAACGCTGGAATTGGCCGGTCTACCGGCAAAGTACCTGCATCATACTCAAGTTGGGCAGATTACTGCGCAGAATTCATTGTACAACTCGGATTCAAGCAAGTCGACATTGTGGCCTTTTCGATGGGTGGATGCGCAGCTCAGATGCTGGCTTTGAACCACCCAACTTTGGTGCGGCGTCTGATTCTCATTGGGTCTCTACCCAGTATCGGACCGGGAGTCGTACTCCCACCGCCCGAGCCCTTTCAGGGTATCCGCATGGCACACGACCGTGAATCTCAGGAAGCTGCATTGCTGGAATTCTGTTGTCACTCTTCGGAGACCAGCCAGGCAGCGGGGAGAGCGACTTTCCGGAGAATGCTCGAGGCAAGGGATGACTGGTCTGATCTCATTGATACTGATGGCACTAGACGTCAAGTTCAGGCGTTTGCCAAGTTTATGAGTCCACAATATTCATCGGAAGGCTCATACGAACGATTCCACGAGCTAAGAGTCCCAGTCTTGATAATTCGAGGTAAGCACATGATTCTAGCCTTGCCCTCTACAATATCGAAGAAGTACTAATTCAAGGAACAATCAGGATCTCACGATTATGTCTTTGAAAAGCACACGTGCCAGGCCATGGTCAGGCAAATGTGCAACACAGCCGTCAGTGTTTACGAGTTTCCAGATGCTGGCCATGCTCCACACTGGCAATATCCCGAGGAGTTTGCCGAGCTTGTCGACTGCTTTCTCTGCGCTGAGGATACACTGAAGGTCCCAGAGATGCCCGTACATTGGGTGCGATGGATTAATGGAACAGACTTGGTCAGTAAAATTTGAGGTGGAACTCTGTACTCAGAAATCGAAATCAAGGCGCCTTTTCGAGATGAAACCTACTTAGGTTCTCGCAGGTTCATCTTCACGAGCACGAGCAGTCGATACCGCAAGCTGTACTTTAATGCCTGTCACTGTCCATCGCACCACTATACAAGCCTTACTTTGTGTTGACAACTCGGCACCCAAGGACGCAAAGCTACCATCGAGGATCTTAGTTGGTAGACACTCCCCAGAGACCCAAGAGGCGGACAATGTGTTGAGACTGATGTTGCCGTTGGATTGAGGGTGCTATTGAGTATCTCCGGACGTTCGCCAGCGTAGGAGATAGAGCTTGCGAACGGAACGTGAGCTCGAAGATGAGCGGCGAACATAGCTCAGTTGGGAGAGCGTCAGACTGAAGTATGGATCATCTAGACCCATTGAAAACTTCACTCAATCAATCTGAAGGTCGTGTGTTCAATCCACACTGGTCGCATCTTCACTTTTGTCCCATGGAGAGAATACAGCACTGAATCATTTTGCGTAGTAGTTAGTTAGATTAACTTTTGATATCCCATTGTCCAACACTGATTATTGATTGGAGGACGATAGTCGGTCAATGGAAGCGTTCGGACCTGCAAGAGATTGTACACCCTGATGAGCAAGCAATCGAATCAGATTATGTTCATGTGACCAGGCTGATTGATTACCCATATGATGATCTTGGATGCCATAGTAAGTAGTTAGTTAGTCAGTGGTCTATGTGCCTAGCATTTTGGTCGTGTTTGGCTGCCACGCTTGCTTCAAGTTGCTCAACCAAATTTGCCTCATGAATAGTGGCAGTAGGCTGGAATAGTACTAAAGTGAACTTCTACCCATAGTTTATTGTTCTACACAGATGATATATGGCATGTATCATCGGAAGTAGGCAGTGTTTTGTTAGGTTGATGAGATTACGTTGATACACAGACGACGCAGTGCACATGCAAAGCGGCATTGAACCAATGATAAGAAGCTAGATGTCTGGCCAACTAACACATGTCTTACTCAGTTATCAGCTAGGGAGAATCACTTTGCAGATCTCTGGAATTGCTTCCCCATCTGGTGGCATTTTTCCTACTTAAAGTTTGAGAGATCAGAGACACCCGATGTTGGGGTTTCTAGGCGGATTCCCGAAACCTCAGTGCACTTGGGATGCATCCGCGTGGCCCGCAGATGTGCTGTGACTGTTTACACCTCATACAACTAACTCTCTAGATGCACCGTCAGAACTAGAGTTTACGCAGTCCATATAATGACGAGTACGATATTACGCAGACTCCCCGCAGAGGTGTAACGGCGAGGCGCAATCAGCACTCGTCCAGCGTAGTGTCTGACCTTGTGAGACATGATTCTCCGAACTGGACGAAAACAGCCAGAAACCGTGACACCAATACCAGTTGATCCAATGACAGCAACCGCGTTGCAAAATACGGGCCGTCGCGCCTGGGAGAAGCCGTGACCCGGTGAGACAGACGAGGGATAGTTTTGGACCAGTGACGCGAAGGGGTAACAAAGAAGATTCCACATCTCAGACCTGGGACTTGGGAGATGCTGGGCATTTCAATTTAAAACTCGAGGCCGGCCAGCTTTTCTGGCCACTTGACCATCCTCAAGAGTTACGGCTTTCTTTAATTTCCATCCAATTCTTACGTCCGTATTCTCTATATCCCACACGATGTCGACCCCGATCCCGCGACCACCGGGTGTGCCCCTCTTGGGCAACATCAAGAACATCGACACCAAGAACACCTGGGCGTCCCTCAAGAAGCTATCCGAGACGTACGGCGAGATCTTCCAAATCAAGGTCCTCAACAAAACGATGGTGTTCGTCGCTGGTGCCGCACTCGCAGAGGAACTCTGTGACGAGAAACGATTCCGCAAATATGTTGGAGGACCCATCGTCGAGATCCGATATGCAGTCCACGATGCCCTTTTCACGGCCTACGACCACGAGGAGAATTGGGGTATTGCGCACCGCATCATCGCCCCCAAGTTGACATCGGCATCTGTGGCGGAGCGCTTTAATGACATGCTTAGCACAACAAACGAGCTTCTCGAGAAGTGGAAGGGCCTCGGTGTCAACGCTGAGGTATCCGCTATTGGCGAGCTCAACAGGTTGAACCTCGAGGCCACGACCTTGGCCCTCTTTGGCAAGAAGCTCAACTGCCTCAATGGACCAGAACACCCGATGCTTCGAGGCATGGAGGACTCGACATCTGAGGCAATGCAACGACCCACCCGACCTGGTATTTTCAATTGGCTCCTCTACGGAAGCAAGTTTAAGAAGGGAAAGCAAGTGATGCGAGCTTACGCGGAGGATCTGGTCCAATACCGAAAGAGCAACCCCTCGGACCGGAAAGATCTTTTGGCTGCCCTTCTCAGCACAGTGGATTCCGAGTCGGAGAAGTCATTGACCCACGCTCAGATTGTGGATGAGATCGTCTCCATGCCTATCGGCAGCAGCACGGCGCCGGGTATGGTCAGTACCGCCATCTACTTCATGCTGAAGAATCCGAATGTCATCGCCACTGCCCGTGAAGAACTCCATCGCGTTGTCGGTGACGGCGAGTTGACCTATGCGCACCTGTCGCAGCTCAAGTATATCGAGGGCATCGTCCGTGAGTCTTTGCGACTTTCCTTCGCGGCGCCAGGCTTCAACATTGAACCCATCCCCAAGGACGGCAACAAGAGCCCCGTGCTGCTTGCGGGAGGCCAGTACCAGATCGCTTACAACCAGCCCATGATCATCGTTCTTGCAGGTGTGAACCGGGATCCTTCGGTCTTCGAAGACCCGCTGGCATTCAAGCCTGAGCGCATGATGGGCGACAGGTATGAGCAGCTCCCGTTGAGTGTGAAAAGATCGTATGGTAATGGCAAGCGAGAGTGCATCGGAAAGCATTATGCTTGGTTGTGGAACATGGTCGTGGTGGCGAAGCTAATCAACGAGGTTGACTTCACGATGGCGGATCCTTCGTATGTGCTGAAGCAAGATGGTTGGTTCAACCTGAGGCCGGTGGACTTCCACGTGAGAGTCAACACGAGGGTAGACAGTAAGGCGCCTGTACTGTGAGCTGCTTTGGGTCTTTGCATTGTGCCAGATTGCCACTGAGCGGGTTCATGGGCGGTCTCACGTTAATGACTGATTGAATTTGATGGTTCTTCACGCAAAGATTTAATCTTGCACTTTCTCGAGGTTCAACGCTTAATGATTATTAATTTACTATCTATGAGACCAACACATCCTTGATCAAGGAATAGTCAGAGACAGAGAGGCATCGTCCGCCTTGCTCCCTCTCTTCGAGACACCACCCTGCGCCAACGCAATCTCGCCCTTGGCATCATCAGCAGCGAAGAAAGCAGAGGTGGCAAAGGGAGCACCAAGCATGCAGGCGCCGGTATCGATGTTCAGTGCGCAGAGTCCAGCTTCGGCATCTGCGTTGTTGCGGATGTAGTTACGGACAGGAGTCTTGATGGTCACGCTCTTGCCATCGATACCGGCAAACTCGAGGTCGATGGTGAGGTCCTTAGGGACAGAGTCGCAGCTGCCGTTATAGGCGACATGACCAATGGAATCACGAGTGAGACCGGCGGCTGCGAAGAAACCAGCGAGTCCAGCCTCGCTAATGGGCAGGTCGTTGATCTGGGTGCCGGAGTCGATCATGCAGGACTTTGTGGAGACATCCGAGTTGTCGAGGGTGACGTTCTTGACCTTGACGGTAGGAGGCGAGACGAAGTACCCGACGGTGGCACCGAGCCCGTCGTTCTCGACGAGCGGTACCCTTACGAGGTCACCCGTGAACTTGGACAGGTCAATGGCGCCGAAGACGGCGTTGCCGGTGAAGGTGCCCTTCCAGTCGGCAGGAGGCTCGTCGAACCAGATGCTCTGGACGGGAGCGCTGATGGCACCCTTCTCGAGGAGGTCCTGACGGACGTGAGGGCCGGTGGTGTTCCACTCTGCCGTGCGGTAGAAGGGCGCAACGCCGAGAATGCCGAGGTCATACGGGGCCGGCTTGCACTGGCCGCCGTCCAACAGGCGCTGCTGCATGTACGTCGCAATGGCAACACGGGCGTCCACCTTTGACGTGAGGCCGGCGTCGCCAGCAAAGAGGAATGTATCGTTGACGCTCTCTTTGCCCTGGACGATCTTGGTGTAACCGCCGTAGGCGTACTGCGTCACGAACGCCTCGGGCTTCTTGGCCGTCGAGCTGTGCGGGAAGTCGTAAAAGGGCTCGGCCGTGGCGTTGCACTGGCCCGGGCAGAAGAAGCCGGTGCAGCCCCAGTTGTTGATGGCGCCCGGTCCAAAAACCCAGAAGTTCTCGGAGCCCTGGTCGAAGACGACCTCGACTGAGGTGTTGGCGGCCGAGTTCACGAGGTTTGTGGCGATCTTGTGGCCGCCACCGTAGTAGTAGTGCAGAGGCACGCTGACGGTGGGGATGGCCGCGAGGGCGCCGTTGGCCAGGGCCGTGATGACGAGGGACTGGGCGAGCATCTTTTCGAAGGGAGGGTGATGTTGAGCGAGTGACTGAGGTGCGCGAAAGGGCTGAGGCTCAATTCTGGGTGGAGGGCTCACGTTCTCTTATCATCAGGTGGTGTGGTCCCCCGTCCATGTGTATAAGTTCATGGCGGGGAAGATGATTGCCAGGGCATGCCAATGCTATTTTCGGATACTAACTTTTAAGAATTTCTTGTGAGATACGACCCGCGAGACCGAGGGATACTCGGGCGACTTTCCGGAGAAAGCAGGTTCACGCAGCCTCGAGTCCCGGCTTGGCCATGATCGCTCCAGAACAATCCCTGAAGACTCGCTGCTGTTAACACCGGTGGGAGCCGTGGGAGCCGTGGCAACTTCAAAGCAAGAACCTTTTTCGTATTAAGATTGTGACAGGCATGGGATAGAGTGCTGATATGGGGTCGCAATGGACGTTAGTGGTGGGTATCAACGGCTTTCTTATTGTCGAGCCAAAGCGAGATTGGCTTAATGCGCCAAACCACCACCAAGCTTCGTCTAGGAATTTTGGGTTAAGCCCAGGGCGGTAGGGCCGACGGTTGGCCCCGTTGGTGTTCTGTTCTTTTCTTGTTCTACCGGGATTCGGCAGTCGTCCGATCCTTTGGATACGAGCTTTTTAGCGGAGATTTCACCTTTTAGAATGGCATGTTACATGGGTACCCCTGGTGAGGGGGAACAGTCCACGATGATGTCAAATCCTACCCAAGATGTTCTTGATCGCCAAGCCACGGGTCGAGCGATATGGACGGGTTGCCGAAAAGCTTGTCACGGCCCCTGAAGACTGGCCGTTGGTATTAGATGAAGTGACACTGCAAGTTCGAGCAGGCCGTAGCAGAGAGTGACACTCGATACGCTCCCACACGCTTGCAAGGAAACGAGAGATAGGAAAGATGAGGTTATCGTCGGTTTCAACTCTGCTTTTGAGCAGCTTCGCTCTCAGTCAACCGACCACGAGCGGACATGCAATTCACGAGACCGTGAGGCAGCTGCCGCAGGGTTGGCGGCACGTCGCTCCCGCCGATGACCTCAACACGATTCAGCTTTCTGTCGCGTTGAAGCAGCCCGGCTTGTCAGAGTTGAAGGCGCGTCTCGAGGTGACCAGCAACCCGAAGCATGCCGAATATGGCGCACACATCTCTCGCGACCTGTTAAAGATGTTCCAAGAGCCCGGCGCCGATGCCTACGCTGTCGTCGCGGATTGGCTTTCCGCTCACGACATTCGGAACTTTGTTCAGGACGGCCCATGGGTTCGCCTGAACACCACCGTCGGTAAAGCGAACCGCTTGTTGGATTGCAAATTTTCCAAGTACCAGTACAAGAGCGAGAAGGCAGTGTTCCGGGCCAAGGAATATACCCTTTCCAGCCAGGTCTCAGAGGTTGTCGACTTTGTCTTTCCGGTGACCCAGTTCATGAGCAAGCCGCCTAGACGACAGATCAAGGCGAGGGAGTTGGGCAAAGTTAAGCGACAGAGCGCCAGTGAGTGAAGGGCGAACTATGTCAGCTAGGCTTTCTGAACAATCACTGACACATGACAGTGCCTCGAAGCTGTTGGGACTACACTACCCCCGACTGCATCGTGGATCTCTACAACATCAACTACAGCCCACCAGACGGCCCGTCACCCACAGACTTTGGCATCGCCGGCTTCCTGGAAGAGTACCCCAACGTCCCGACTCTTCAAGCATTCCTAGCATCGTACAGCCCTCGTCGGAACGCCACCGGCTTCTCGCCCAAGTACAACCTCACCGTAGAATCCGTCAACAACGGCAGCGACACCACCGAAGGCGGCGGCGTCGAGGCTTTGCTTGATATTCAGTACAGCATGCCCTTTATCCAGCCAATGAACGTGACCTACTTCTCAACCGGCGGCCGAGGCCCTGAAATCGGCCCTGACGGCAAAGAAAAGGATCCCAAGGACAGCGCCCACGAGCCCTGGATCGAGTTCCTCGAGGCCCTCCTCGCCCGCGAGACCATCCCGGACGTCATCTCCATCTCTTACACCGACGATGAGCAGCTTATCCCACAACCGTACGCCCGTCGCGTGTGCGACCTCTTCATGCAAGTCGCTGCGCGCGGCGTCTCCGTCCTCGTAGCTACAGGTGACGGCGGGGCAGCAGGTATCGGTTCCGGGGACTGTATCTCCAACGACGGGAGAAACACGACAAAGTTCATCCCGACGTTCCCCGTCGACTGTCCCTGGGTTACGGGCGTCGGCGCGACGGGCAATTACGCGCCGACAGAGCCTGCGTGGTACAGCTCCGGCGGCTTCAGCGAATACTTTGAGCGTCCGGCGTGGCAGGAGACCGCAGCCAAGGCGTACATTGCCGGCATTAACGGGTCTCACGCCGGTTGGTACGCGCCCAACGGCCGCGGTAGCCCGGATATCTCGGCCATTGGGTCCCGGTTCCTGATGCAGCCTGGGTGGACGCAGAAGGGGACGAGCGCTAGTACGCCTGTCATCGCGGCCATGATTGCGCTCGCCAATGATAAGCGGATGAGGGAGGGTAAACCTGCTCTGGGATTCCTTAACCCGCTGTTGTACTCTGACAAGGTTCGTTCTGCGATCAACGATGTCACGAGCGGGTCTAGTGGAAGTTGCTCTTATGGGACCCAGGTTGAGAGCGGATGGTCTGCGACTGCTGGGTGGGATCCGGCGACTGGTCTTGGGACTTTGGACTTTGCCAAGTTCCTTCAGGCACTAGAGTAATGCTTCATTGTGACGTTGCCTTAATATGATTAATGTCTGCGAGAGCAGGAACAAATAGGGTCGCCTGTGTGATTCTCGTGCCGCCAGTCTTCTCAATCATGCCAATGTCCCTCCAAGTAGTTCTCATACTCTCCGCCAATATGCACAACCTGGGCGGCCGCATTCTCCGGCTTTTCGGCCAGGAACTCGAACTCTGGCAACACCAGGCTATCAGCGCCGGTAATCTTGAGAGCCAACTGCTCCCCGGCATCAAACTGGATGGCCGTGGGCCAGATCCACACCTCCATCTTTACAATCTCCCCCGCCTTGATCTCAATGTCTTCATCGTGGGCCAGAGTCTGCCAATAGTTCGGCGACAGCTCTGGTGCGACCTTGCGCTTTGAGGCGCGGAGCTTACCGGTAGGTCCCAGGTACTTGAGCGGGTTGGTATTGGGGATCTCCTTGGTATCGGATACGGGGAGGGCCTCGAGGGGGATGTTGAGGTGCTCGAGGTCGTTGCCGTTCTTATCTCGCTTCCGGAGCTGGGCATAGACGTCAAAGTCTGTCGCGGAGGGGCAGGAGACGTGGACTACGAGCTTGGTTGGGCCCAACAGCTTCGTGGATTGGGAAAAGGTGTGCGTGAAGACAATGGTTTCCGTGCCCTCGTAGCCCAGCGTTGTGGCGTTGGTATTGTTGGACTGCTGCAGCGTCTTGTCGGCACCCAAGTAGAGACGTTGAAGTTTCGTATTCGTGGCACTGGGTGACAGCCAAGGCAGAGAGTCAAAGGGGAGGTCGATGACGGATGGTTTGTTGTAGCCCAGCACGGCCAACCTGACTGGTGAGGTCTTCTCCCATCCGTTGTCGACGCCTTTCATGTAGCGGTCAAAGAACTTTTGCAAGTCATCTGTACGTTCTTGGCTGTACAGGTCGAACCACTCTTGCGTAGCATGGGTTATCATCCTAAAAGACAAGTCAGAGACCGTCATATAGGTCGCATGTTAGACGAACCATTTATTTTGGTGAGGGATCTCCTCGAAGCCTCTGAAGCTCCCAATGGTATGCAGCATCGTCGAATAGCTGCCCAGGATGTAGGCCGGAACCTCGATCTTGTCCATGCGGGCCCTCTTGTCATCCCAGTACGATCGGAGACCCTGCCCATGCTTGAGCAGCATCTCGACGGTGTTTTCTTGTTGGCCACGACCTAACGCACATTTAGTTGAGTCAAGAAGCAAAACCGACAAGAACTCTGTCGCATCGCTTACCGCGAACCACATTATTAATCATAGAACCGAACTTAATCGAAGGAATTCCGCCGCGGCACAGACTCTCGCGCATATGATCGCTCGCACCCTCCAGAGGCGCGATGCAGGCTAGGTGAGGCGGTCTCTCGGCGGCGATGTACCACTGGCACAGCGCGAGCCACGAGTTGCCAGCCATGGCGACTTTACCTGTGCACCAGGGCAGCTTCGCGATACCTTCAATGGCATCGTGGCCGTCTTGGCCCTCTGGGGTACCCCACTGCCTCATGTCGCCTTCCGAGTCACCACATCCTCTGGCGTCGGCATTAATGATGGCATAGCCTTTGGGGACCCATTCGGCGGGGTCTAGTCTGGGAGCAAGTCAGTCTTCACGTCTAATGCCAAGGGCACATGTAAAGGGGAGCTTACCCCTCGAAAGACTCATAGCCCGATAATTTGCTCAAGGGAACGCCGCATCGCAAAGGAACTGCATGAAGATTCATAAAACCTGGAAAGCAATGTCAGTAATTGGAACATGGAGATGGAATTCGGCATCATATTGGGCCATACCTGTGTCAGTCTTGCCGTAAGGCGACCACATCAGAATGGCGGGGACCTTCTCGTCCGTCTTCGGCCGAAAGATGTCAACGCGGATGCGGGTCCCGTCGCGCAGCGTCAACGGCTGGTCCCGTTCAAGGATGACGTCGCACGGGAGCGGACGATGCTCTGGAGTCTTTTGACTTCCGGCCGAGAGCTCCACGCGGGAGGGCTCCTTGGGAGTTGGCCATGCTGGCGGGTTGGTGGGGTTCTGGATGACTTCGATGTTGTTGATGATGAGTGGCGCCATTGTTGCGCAGCGTTAATCTAATAAACTCGCAGAGATAAACACCCGTTGATGCAGGTACAATGTTTGTCTGGAACAAGACTGACAACGACTTTGATGGCAGCTTCGTGCCTTTGTTATATGACTGTTACATGAGAACATCATAATTCCGAGCCGCCCGGCCTTCTTCACATCTGAAGGCACCTCGTAAGTCCTCGGACTTGACCCAATTCCTGACGACAGATCTCCGTGAACGCCCAGAAACACGGCCCCTTTCACCGGCATGGCTCCACGGCAGATTCCACTTGTCTTTCGTCCAATGGCATAACCGTTTTCGCACTCTTGGGGTAATGTTCGCCTGGGGAGGTCCGAGGGTCTCGAACTTATTGGACTCAGCCTGGGACGTATTATCATGTAGCCTTACGGTTTGCCTATGTGATGCGAGACGTCGGAAAGGGCCTGACATATCCATGTAACATATGTTTGAGTTCTTCCCCGCCATTTGGCCCTGCTGATCACCCGAGGCGCGTCTGCAACCCCGCCGGTGAGTGAAGAAATGGGTCCCGGCGACCTCGGTCGTAAGGAACCGTCCGGTGGCCGATGAATAATTCGGGCAACTTGTCCGAGACGGCCGTATTCGTCCATACTTCCTGCAAAGCTCCGTTCATTGTGTCATTCAGCCGCCCACCTCCCACCGACTGCCCGATTTTACGAGGGGGTCGCGATCCGGAGAAGTGGACGCTAGCGAAAGGGGGCAAACAAATGTGTCAGTTTGCATCTTTCGAAGCGTTCCGACCATGGCCACAAGTTTTGAGGTTGCTGCATAAGATGCGTCTCATCTGCTGAGTGTCTGTGGCTTGGTAGAAGACTCAATTTCCGCAAGATCTCATCATACAAATCTCACGATGGGCAGCAAAACAACATCAACAGCGCCGGCGCTCTACGTCGACGAAAACTGCAACTTTTCAGTCATTCGCAACCTCCCCATTCCCGATCCCGTAGACGGCGAGGTCCTAGTCAAGGTACTCTACTCGGGCGTCAACCCCGCCGACGTCAAACACGCACCGATCATCGGCGTCCGCTCCGTCACCCTCGGCTACGACTTTTGCGGCCGCGTCGTTCAGGCCGCTGGTAAGAATGCGTCGGCCAATTTCAAGCCCGATGACCTGGTGGCCGGCTACGTGCCCACGGGCATTGGCAAGCCGATGAGGCACGGCGCGCACCAGGAGTACTTGAGCTGTCCAGAGGACATGCTCTTCAAGGTCCCGGATAATCTGCCCCAGACGCACGCCGCGAGTCTGACGGTGGTGCTGACTACGGCCGCCGACGGCTTGTACAATATTTTCGGGTATCCTCTGCCCGGGGAGAAGGCAAGGGATGGGTTCAAGGCCGGCCCGCTGCTTATCTGGGGTGCTTCCGCCAGCGTCGGAATCTGCATGCTTCAGTTAGCGCGCGAAAGCGGCGCATCGCCCATCTTCGTCACCGCGTCGCCGGGACGGCATGGGATGCTCAAGAAGATGGGAGCGACGCGCTGCTTCGACTACAACGCCCCAGACGTGATATCCCAAATCAAGAAGGCGGCGGAGGAGGCTGGAGCGGGGCCGATTCGCTACGCTGCCGATTGTGCAGGTTCAAATGGCGAGGTCAGCTCGGCGTCTCAGACAGAGGCGTGTGTCGATGAGGACGCCATTGTTCTGTCCGTCGTGGCGAAGCCTGGTGGGAGGATCAAGATGCCGTTGGCGTCGGCGAACACGGAGGTTACGTTACAGTTGGGCGGCGGTCATCTTGTTACGATCCCGGCGCGGGTGGAGGATTGGGGGAGGATGTGGAAGGCGTTGATGTGGTCCGTCGAGAACTACGGCACAAAGATTTCGATTCCTGTGGTGGACGTGTTCAAGGGGCGTGCGGAGGATGCGCTGGAGGAGGTGAGGAAGATCGCTGACCAGGGAAAGTTTGGGAAGCTTGTGTTGGAGCATCCTTTGCTGTGAAGGGGAGTTTGTGAGGTTTCCTGGGGTATCCTTTCCCGGGTATACTCTTGTACAAATCGCTGTCTACCTGCATGAAACCTTCTGTTTAACTGTTGATTTGAACAAAAGTTATTCCATCTACACTCACGAGAGTCATGCTGTATGTATAAAGAGGCCGGGATCGGGCGGTCCCGCGGCGGGGCGTCATCCTGCCGGCCCCCTCGGCAGCTCAAGGCCGACGATAAGCAGCGCATCCCCGGATAAGCTCCGGTCCTGCGCCGGTTTAACGGGTCTAGACTCCGGCGGGTTTATCTCGGACCTATCAGCACCCGTCAAGCTATCCGGGACCCCACCATCTCCACTCCGGGTCGGCAACACAGAGGCCGCGCTCGGCTCCTGCATCGGCCCCCTCCATCTCATCGGCTTTCTGAGTGTACACCACACACATTGGGCGCAGCCACAAGAAACCGAAGGTCTTTGCATGCTCTACTAACCAGTCAGTAAGAGTCATTCTTGCAGCTATCTGTAGGCTTTCCCGAGTGCTATTCGCAGTTCTTCTTCCTCTCCCACACACACACACACACACACACTCCGGCACCAGTCAGTCCGTCAACCAACACCGGTGACCGGTCAGTGGCGCTCCACCAAAGTCCCCTTCCTGAAAAGAAGCCAAAGGTGGAAGGTCCATCATTTGCCTGACGAAATAGCGGGGATTCCGCACGTCTTTTCGGCACAACGGTCCAGAAGCAACAAACATCCTAGCAATCCGGGGAACTCGCAGGAAAACCCATACAATTCTCACTCGAATTTTTCCTTACCACCCCTTACCCCCGGCGCACTTTAATCGCCTTGTGCCCCTCATTCGGCTCAGATTGGCTTTGTCACCATCTGTTTCCCTTTCGAACCCTTTTCTCTCCCATCCTGTCCTGTTCTCCCCCTCCCACCCTGCGAAACGTTCAACCGACCTTCCTAGTTCTACCAAACTTTTCTTAGTTGAGCCTCATAAACAAACCTTCTATTGGACGAAAGGCGTGATTCTCCGAACCCTAAGAACCCTCTCTCCCTGTGACCGTTTCCTATCCACACACACACCCAACCACCCGCCCCGATGGCTGCCAATGCAGATGAACGGACGCCCCTCCTCAAAATCAAATCCGGCGCCGGGGCCGTGAAGCGGGTCGGTCGCGGCCTCTGGTCACCCTCAAACCGTATCCTCTTCGCCGGCTTTCTCGTGTCCCTCACACTAGGCCTCACTCAAGTTCCGTGCGCACAAGTCCACCCTCCTCTCTCTCTCCCCATCCGTGTGTACCACGGCACTGGGGCTGTGAACCATACATGTATCCAGGGTTACTGACATGTAACCCACAGCATCATCTATGTCTTCCGCGTAATGGCATGCGAAACCTTTTACGAGTCTCACGCGCCCTACGATGGCCCCGCCTCCGAAATGTGCCACCGCCGCGAGATTGACGCAAACACGGCCACACAGGTTTCCATCCTCGGCATGACAACCTCCGTCTGCGGCATCCTCAACCTCTTCATCTGCGGCGATCTCATTAAGCGCTGGGGCACTCGCTGGGCTCTCATCAGCCAGACCGGACTGCTCGGCATCCGCGTCTCGTGCCAGGTCCTCGCCGTGTCGCAGGGCGCGCAGAAGGGCATCGATATGATGCAGTACACGCAGCTCATTGGCATCTTTGGTGGGCCGAGGGGATACATGTAAGTGCAGAACGGCAGTTGACATGAACTGGGTAAAGGACTGGACGGGCGCTAACGCAAATGAAACCAAGGCTGGTTCTAAACACGGCGATCGCGGAGGTTGTCGAAAGAAGAAAGCATACCGGCGTCTTTGGTCGGCTACAAGGCGCAGTCATGATCGGTACCGCCATAGGCTACTTGCGTATGTTGAATCCCTCTGCCTTGCTCAATCTCTTGTACTAACGAGCCATTAGTCGGTGGTGTCTTGGGTGATGTGTTCGGCATCACCAGTCCCTTCATTGCTGCCATCGGCTGCTTCGCTTCCGCGACAATCTACGGCGCCATCTTCTGGCCAGCATCGCCAGAAAAGACGGACGAGATGGACGGCAAGACGACGCCCGGCGCTTCTGGCTTCCTGGCTCCTATCAAGGTGCTCATGCCTTCAAAGTACCGTCTTGAATCCGGCAAGATTGTCAAGAACTATGGTCTTGTCTTCCTTGCCCTGGGCATCTTCTTCGGCGTGGTAAGTCTGCTTTCCGACCATCATCTATGGCATTCATCCACGAGCAACATTGCTAACGTAGGTCCCAGTTCGCCACGGGTTATGCTCCCATCCTCATCCAGATGTACGCCACCTCGCGCTTCAACTTTGGCACGACGGAGAACGGTATCCTCATGTCCGGCAACTCCTGGATCCGCGGCATCTTCTTGATGTTCATCTTCCCGGAAATCATCGACAGCGGACGACGGTGGTTCGCTTCATCATCTCACGCTGGAGCTCTGCAGAAGACGCTCACTCAGGAAGAACGGAGCGTCATCCCCACGCATCCCGAAGACATGGACCCGGCACCCGGTCTGATGAACGCTTCCGAGCCAACAAAGGCGCCGCCTGAAGAGGAGGACGAGGATAGCACATTCGACCTCTTCTTCCTGAGGTGGAGCTTGGTGGTGGATGGCATCGTCACGTCCCTCGCGGCTTGGGCGACGGAGGGCTGGCATGTTTATGCTGGTGAGTATCACATTTCTACCACTGAATTTTCCTAGAACCCAGAACACAGATCAGGACGCTAATTCCTTTCACTTATAGCGGCTTTCCTACTGCCGTTTGCGTCCGGATCGGCTCCCGCTGCAAAGGGCGTCATCACAGAAATGTGCCCGCCGCATATGCGACAAGATGCCCTGAGTGCCATCACTCTGGTCGAGAGCGCGGCGACGCTGACGACGCAAGGCATTTTTGGCTTCATTTTTGCCACACTGTCTGAGATGGGCAAACCGAATCTTACCTTCTTCGTCAATGCCGTGAGTACACATGATACATGAGACCTCTGATGCTTGTTTTCTAATCGCTGTATAGGCTCTCGCCGTCGTCGCCGTTGGCATTCTTCTCCTGGCGCATTACCCCCCTCTCAACAGCACGAGGGTCGAGGACGAGGCGATTGAAGAGATTAGCGAATCAAGTTAGGCGATGAATCGTGACATGATTGAGTGCCCAGATTGGCTACACTCTCTCCTCGGTCGCAATGATGAGTAAACAGGAGACTCACTGGCTACGGCTTCACGTTGGGTCTATTGAACCTTGACAAAGAGGGGTTTCCTCCCGTAAAAGATTTTTTTTCATTGGATCTCATTTGATCTTATATGCGGCGTTATTTGGTATTTAGAACCGTCGGTGCGCCTCAAAAGGTGTGCTGTAGAAGACGTGGCGAGCGTTGTTGTCTTAGTGAGAGTATGAGTGTTCTTCAGGTTACCAACACAGGCATCGCTGGGATAGATGTACATAAAAACGGACAAAAAGAATTAAGGTCATTATTCAACGGTTTTCTCCCAGACAGTACCTCGAAACCCATCGCGTGCCGCATCGCCGAATACACCACGTTCTAGACCTTTTGATTTATCACCAAACCCTTCAGAAATGTCCTAGATCTGCGCTCACCAGCCAAGGTCGCGGTGGGGGTGGAGCGCCTGTCATCGGTCTTGGCTCGGCCTTCTGCTCCATGACATCAGCGGGCTGTTCGCATACATCATCGATTGCGTTCATGCGGATCGGTGCTTTTGCCCCGAATCTGGGATTCCCCTAGCACCACTACACATCGAATTTGATGATTTCGATTCTTCAAAGATGGGAATCTGGCTTGACCGGAGCTAGATCTCCGGAGTTGTGGTAGCGGCTGCATCTTGGGCTGCTTCAGATAAGTGCCGGTGTTTGCTTGACGGTCTCAATCGTCTTAGTCTGCCCCTCGCCCCCCGCAGTTCTGGTCTTCGTCACATCCTGTCTTCAGATCTGGAACCCATAGTTCCTTCAAATCCTCCATGGCAATCTAGCCAATTGATCCCAGCGCCAGGTTATCGGGGCAGTCGTCGTGATATCCATCCGGTGCCCTTCTTCACCATGGAGTTAATCCCGAACTAGGACCGTAGCTCAGAGTCGAAAAGGTGAAAAGTCGAAAAGTCCAGAGGCCAAGGAGGCTCCGTTCCAAGCGTCATCGACTCCTGCGACCCGCCCCTTGGAGAGCGGGTGCTAATGCGGGTATGGCCTAGTTCCCCATGCCGCTACATGCCGCCACGACTGATTGACAAACACTTCCCCGTCTTCAGTCTGCTTCGATGTAGTAATCTGCAGCTTGTGATTCGCCCAACAGGATTGATGGTATTGTGCCTCTAGAACTGCGTCATGGCATTGAGTTTTGATGGCGCTCTTTTTACTGTTTGCCCGTTCGAGCCCCTCCACATAAAATGCCCAAGCACCAGCGGGTGGCGGAACTGTTCACCAAGCTTTTCTCTTGTATAAGACCTCTCAACACCTTCTGGATCCCATGGAGATTGTTCAAAGAATCATTAAACATCCCATTGAAACTGCCCAAAAGACATTCAATATGGGTTCCACCGATACATCCTTCGCAGCCCACGTGGCAGGCCAGTTCAGTACCTACGAGAAGGACAGACAAATGACCTCCAAGGAAGCCATCTACAGCACCAGCAATGGCGTCCCGATGCCTCACCCCTATGAGACGCAGCGATGTGGCGAGAACGGCCCGTTGCTGCTGCAGGACTTTCACCTGATCGATCTCCTCTCCCACTTTGACCGCGAGCGTATTCCGGAGCGTGTCGTGCACGCCAAGGGCAGCGGTGCTCATGGCTTCTTTGAGTGTACGGATCCGATCCCCGAGCTTACACAGGCCGATATCTTTGGCACCAAGGGCAAGAAGTGTCCCATTACTGTGCGCTTCTCGACTGTTGGCGGCGAATCTGGATCACCGGATCTTGCCCGCGACCCCAGAGGTTTCTCTGTGAAGTTCAGGACGGAGGATGGAAACTGGGACATGGTGGCGAACAACACGCCTGTGTTCTTTTTGAGAGACCCTGCCAAGTTCCCCATGTTCATTCACACGCAGAAGCGTGACCCCCAGACGCACCTTAACCACATGGATGACTCGTTCATGGTAAGTTGAAGTCTTGTAATTATGCATATGCAACCTTTACTAATAAGTACCACAGTTCTGGAACTATTTGAGTGAGAACCCCGAGTCAATTCACCAAGTCATGATCTTGATGGGTGACCGTGGCATTCCCGACGGCTACCGCTTCATGCACGGCTATGCTGGCCACACGATGAAGCTCGTCAACAAGGACGGATCATGGGTTTATGCACAAATTCACATGAAGTCGCAGCAGGGCACCAAGTTCATCACACAAGAGGACTCCCTCACCAAGTCAGCCGACTACTCCGGCAAAGACCTCTTCGAGGCCATTCAGAACGGCGACTACCCCAAGTGGTCAGTCGAGATTCAGACCATGACACCCAAGGAGGCAGAGGATGCATGGGAGAATGACAAGATCAATGTCTTTGATCTCACACATGTCTGGCCCCAGGGCAAGTACCCTCTACGCAGGGTAGGCGAGTTCACCTTGAATGAGAATCCCCAGAACTACTTCGCCGAGGTCGAGCAGGTTGCCTTCAACCCTTCGCACATGCCCCCGGGCATCGAGCCCTCCGCCGACCCGGTCCTCCAGTCCCGCCTGTTCTCCTACCCGGACACCCACCGCCACCGCATCGGCGTGAACTACCAGCAACTCCCCGTCAATGCACCAAAGACTGCACACAAGATGGCCAACTTCCAGCGCGACGGTGCTATGGCATTCTTCAACCAGGGTGCGCGACCCAACTACCTTAGCTCTATCGATCCCGTCCAGTTCAAGGCGCGCACCGTCGACTTGGACAAGACGCATGGCCACTTTACCGGCCAGGCCATCACCTTCCTCTCCGAGATCAGACCCGAGGACTTTGTTGCGCCGCGCGCCCTGTGGCAGAAAGTCTGGGACGAGGATGCGCGTGAGCGTTTCATCAACAATGTTACAGGCAAGATGGAACTTTGCAAGAACCCTGAGCCCTTGAAGAAGCAGATTGCCATCTTCAGGGAGGTTGACCCCGAGATCGCAGAGAGGTTGGAGAAGAGTACAGGTATCAAGGGATACGATGGCATTGCCAATTTGACTTTCAACGGCACACACAACGGTTTCGCAAGGGAGAAGAAGAACAAGTATGCCAACGGTATCGACGTTACGACGTGCCAGAGCTTGACGGAGAACAACGGTGCGCCCATTAGGGGCACTCATCGCAACGTTGACAAGGTTGTCAACGGTGAGGGTACAAGGCACTGAAGATTTTCGAATTGTAGTAATAGAGATATCCACATAATGAGATGAACATGAGTTTTCTTTCCGTTATTCCACATTTTCCACTTCTCAGCCCGGTGTTGCCTGGATGCATCGGGGCTGTGCTGACAGTGTGTCACACCACTGTGTCGCTTGTGATTCGTCAAAAGGATCAAAAAATGAGCATGCAATGTGCCTTGCGGATAGCCGTACTCATAGTGTTGGTGTTGAAGATGGTTTTCTATATAGAGCTTGATCTGTCCGATCGATAAGGAGTGAATGGTTACAATCGCGCATCGTTTGCATGTGGTTTACTTCATCAATACTACAGCTTCCAGAAACTAGTTAGAATTGAGAGTTGCATCTCAGGGCCATTCCATCAACAAGACACGATGGAGATTTCATACGATGCAGTCCTAAGATCTTTGACTGGGGTCTCACAGGCTACTAAGGCTGCTCCTGATGAAATTCACACAATCAAACAGTTATTGTCTCCAGGCAATGAGAGCCTCACTGAGACCAACACCAAGCCTGACAGTCTATCGTTCCAAGGCTGGCAAGACTTTCTCAAGCAACATGCCACAGAAACCACCAAAACCACCCTCCATATGGCACTCGTCGCAATTGCAGTCTCATTCCTCCGCGAAACAGCCCGCCAAAACCAACCCGCCACAGCAGACGAGATCAACCAGTGCTGGACCATCATCCATGACGCCCTCACATCCACAAGCTCTTCCCAAACACAGTTCACTGCCGCTCGCAGCGCCCAAGGTTTCCTCTCGGTACCGCTGTGCAGCCTAGTCAAAGACGGTAGTATCGACGAGCTTATTCGCCTGCACGTTTGGATGCCAGACGGCAAGCGCGGAAACCCTGATTTTCACCTACACTCCCATCAGCCGTTTGCGCAGAGCTGGATCTTGGCCGGGCAGGGCGTGGATCACTCATACCAGGTCGACCCTGTCGAGGATCCCGCTGAGGCAACACATGCAGAGTATGCTCTTGCGTGGAACGATGGCAAGGGGGCAAATACCGCGTATAAGACGCATCAGGCTTCCTCTACGGTGCAGAACACGGGAAAGCTGTTTCGAGCTGTGAAGGCTCTATCAGAGACTCACACAAGGGGATCAACGTACACGGTTCCGGCAGCAGGATTCCACGTCTCAGAGGTTGCGCCAAATGCTTTGCATGCGACTATCTTCTTCTTCGATTCCCATCGCGGGTTCGTCAAGGATGCTGGAGTTCTTGGGCCGAAAGATGGGGACTCCTTTACCCAGCTGCGAGATCCGGCTGGGGTGACGCCAGTAGAGCTTGCGGAAGCGGTGTGCAATGCTCGATTGCGAGAGGCACATGAATGAGTGAGAGTCAACGATCTGGGTTATTAATACATTTGAAAGGGCACCTCATTTGACTAAAAGTCGTCCGTCATGATACTTGTAGCAAAAACGATTACGCTGTTTAATTTCATAAATCTTGTATTCAAACACATTTAATGCAAAGATCACTTCTACTAGACGCTTACTTCCCAACCACCTCAGCAGAGAGGTCCTCGGGCCAGACAGGCTCATCGACACCATTGCCTCTGGTTCCCACATTGTACCTCATCTCAATCGCGTTGTTGCCATACTGCAGAACTGGCTTGACAACCCAGAACGTGCCATCAACCGCCTTTGACGTTCGCATCTCAAAGAACTCGGGCTTGAAGAGAATCTGCGCGTCGTACTCCTGAAGCAGCTTCGACATGACCGGGACGTTGTGGGCCATTGTGTGGAAGTGCCGGAACACGGGCGAACCATGACGCTCCCAGACTTC